CCCTAAAACCCTAAAACCCTAATCACGAAAACACGCGATTTTTGCAGATTGTGAAAGCCCACAGAAGTCACGCTGAAAATACTGAATCTCTACAATACCCTAAAACCCTAACATGCGGTGGCTGGCGTAAAAACGCAAGTCAATGATTGCGATGTCGCGACCGTACAGGCACGATCTGTGTTTCGAAAGTTTTGACACACTAGGTAGCTGAACTCCTTCAGTGGTCAAAGCAGCATTCAGAACCGCGCGATCAGTTTTTCGACGGCCTACATTTTGTCCTACTTTGTCCTCGATTGATTCCGTCACCTCAGCTGATGACCACCCAACCTAGGACCTAGGCCACGGTTGTGAATCTGATAGGTCTCCGGACTCGGACTCGTATAGGCTGTCGGTGTTATAGTCGCGGCAGAGTCTAGGGTCCGGGACCGTACTTGCAAGTCGTCCTCTGGAGTCTGGAGCGCCTTCGATGTTCTTGCACTTGCCACACAGTTGGTCGTGGACCTGAAAAGTCAAATCAAAAGATGGTCCTAGCTTGAACTCGAAGTTGAACAGCGAGGGCCTGCTGAGCTTAAAGCTTCTGTAATCTCTGATTAGGTACCGGTGTTGACTGAAGATCAGGGGTATGGCGGCTGTCAAGAAAGCAACGCGAGTAAATAAGACTTGGGAAAATTCACCCAGGTAGAACCTCTGTAGTTCTCTAGTTAATGTACTTTGCATTTTATCAACATCACCCCAAGACGAAAGAATTCTCAAATTTGAGTTTCCTAATATTCTACTGCAGCACCAAGGAACACCACTGCAGGCCATGATCTAAACATCGTAACCCCAACATTAGGGGCAGCGTAGAGCCGTCTATCAAATGTGGCAGAGGGTATGAGAGCAAAAGTTGTTTGCGCTGACTTGCCCCCATTTGGGTTGCTGCTGTGGTGAAGTGCACATTGATCGTGCGGTCAACAGTTGGCACACAATTAGAAGCCAGCGGCAGACGGACTGGCATGGGTGGAGTGGTGCCTTGCGGTGTTGTGACGGCCCTGCTGCTGCTGGCGCTTGCTGCGGGGGGCGTGCAAGGGCAAGCTAGCACGGGGGGCATCCAATTCCAGAATTGTGAAAAACTCACGGCTTACAAGAATCTGTAAGGCCCTCGCTTAAGTTTCTCAATCCCATGCAATGCTTGCACCCTTCCCTTGAGATGCGCTTTTCATCGAGGTCTCTGCATTGAGGTGGGAGATGGACTCCCATATCTGGAATCTGTCCACAACATTCTCAGAAACTTTCCAAAGCAGCCAGGTATAATGCTTTTTTGTCCTAAATCCCTTCTGCTCATGGTCCTGCTCTCATGCATACACCGAGCATTTTGCTTGCAGCTATTGGAATCTGGACAAGACTGCGGGAGTGGTAACTTATGCCTTGGAGGATCGGGTCCCGGACGGCAGTTGGTCTGCATTTGGGTACAACACGCAGAACAGGGCGTCCATGGTCCCCAGTGACGTTGTCATCACCACAGCCACCTCCGCTGGCGACTATGACATATCGGAGAGGGTAAGGCCCCGTGCCAGGACTGCTACGTGTAGGGTCAGACATACCTGTACTTTCTTCAGTAAGTATGGCTAGATTGCCTGCTGACCCTTGTTACAATGTGGGTGGCTCAGCTTTGACCCCATTTCTGCCCTCAGGCCCAGTGCGCGAGCAGCGGCGCCAGCTCCATTGGCGTGTGTGCGGACAGTGTCCTGGGGGGGACCAACGACGTGACGCTCATCTCTGCGGTGCGCCAGAATGGCATCAGCAAGGTCACCTTCTCCAAGCCCCTCAAAACCAAGGACAGCAAAGATTACGACCTGTCGTCCTCCACTGGAAAAGTAAGACCCGCCCAAGCCCCATTCTCATTGCACATCGCATCTTTGCAAAACTATTGCACAGAAGCGGGGGGCAAATGTTGGGGTCGGTGGTGTGATGAGCCACTGTCCTTGATGTGCGGGCTCCTTCTATCTTGCATCGGCCTTTTGCTTGTCGATCACTTCGCCTCCGATGCGGTTGGCCTCCCCCCACCTTCGCTTCACTTGACCAGCTTCACATGTTAAAGGCGCAACTCTGCATGGCACCAGGTCCTAGATCCGTCCCCTGTTTGATCCTCTCCCCCCCCCCTCCTTCTCCGCAGCCCGTCCAGGCCATCTATGGCAGCGGCCCACTGGACAGCAGCGGTGCCCCCAACTACCACGACACGTCGGTTACGGGCTATGCCAACGATTTCTACCCCATCACGCTGGACCGCACTCCTGTGCTCAACTGCGTGCCCCTCCTACCGGACTCGGCCCTCAGTACCAACACATCCACTGCCCCTGCTCCAGGCAAGCCCTACCCTCGAGATTGTACTTGGACGGAACAGACGCGGTCTCTTCGCCAGCTCTTAACTCTGGAAGTCCTCAGCCTTTGAATCTAGCAGTCAGCTGATTGCTTTCAGGATGCCACACTTTACAATCTGTGAAGTCCCCGCTTCGAAGCTTTACACAAAGTCTCACTATGCATCACTGTGAGAAGGCCTGAGCTGCAACCCTTGCTAGCCGGACCCTGCGCCCAACTGCAAATTTTGCCGGCAGCACGTGTCGGGACACGGACCGGTGTGCTCTTTCGGGCAGTGACTGTGCCCCTTCTCACATCATCTTTGTGGATGTGGGCGTCCACCTGTGGCGTCCCACACGGTGTAGACCCGCCAATCCACAAGATCCTGACTGAGCAAAAAGGAGCAGTGCGGGCCCTCTGGTTCGAGGCCCATCAACAGATTTGGGCAGTTGCATCATATTGGCCTCACCAAGATCCCTATTTTTGCAGCGGCGTTGATTGTCCCCCCCCTACCTGCGGGCACCCCCGCGTGCAGCATCACGTTTGGGGGACAGCCCCGCTCGTTCCAGGTGTGCCGCGAGGAGGCAGTAGGGCTGACGTACCGCTGGAACAACCTGGGGGGGAACAAGCTGGAGGTGGCGGCGTCGTGCGACTTCGACGGCTGGTGCGGCCTGGGCTTCGGCAAGAAGATGGTCGGCTCCAGCGCCGTCATCGCGTTCCCCACAGGTGGGCACGCTGTCGTACCTGAGGGCTCCTGAAAGGTCGCCGTCGGAGCCCAGGCTGTAGCGAGCGGGACACAATACATGCGGATTGTGCAGCTTGTCCACTGTCCGCGGCAACGCGGTTGGCGTCTGGCCATCAGCACGGGCATTCCAAGTCGCGCATGGCAATGCTTGACCAAGAAACAGAATTTTTGAAGTTTCGTCGTGAGTCACCACGGCCACTTTCGACAAAAGCGCTAAGGGCTTGCGCAGCCGCCGCACTCACGCAAGGTGCAATTTCTCCTGGCCCTTCTTCTACTGACATTGTCCCAGGCTCACGCGCCGTCTGCCTCCCCGTTCGCAGAGAAGGGCGTGTACGTGAGCAACTACCTGCTGGCGGGCCAGAGCGAGGACGAGGTGAAGCCTGGCACGGGCGTGCTGCGCGTGGGGCCCCTGGCCGCGGAGTACGTGGGTGGCACGCTGACCATGCTCTTCAACGTGACGCTGCCCGCCAGCCAGTACCCGGTGTCGGCGATCGTGGTGGGGAAGGGGCCGGCGGAGCGCGACTCGGGCAGCGGGCGCATCCAGGAGCACGACAGCTACTTCCAGGGGAGCATCGCGTGGGAGCAGGGAACAGTCAACCTGGAGCTGCACCGACGCGTCACCCAGGTCAGCTAGCCTGCCACGTGGAAGCTCATGGGACCATTCGGGCCCGCAGGAAGGCAGTGATTGCAGTGATCATGGCTGTGAATTGACGTTGAGCGGTCTGCCCCCTGTCCTGCTCCTTATGACTCGCTTGGACTGAAGGCCGTTCGCTTCGTCCACTTCAGGCATGGGGAAACAACCCTCTCGGGCAAGAAGCCTTGAGTTCCTTCGTAGGACTCAGATTTAACCTTTATACGTCTGGCACCTGCCATCGTTAACGGACGGCCTTACCCTTCAAACATCAGCCCCGTCTCAAAACCACTTCCTTTCTCACATAAATTCATCGTCCGACTGACTTGCAGCTCATCGTTAGTACCAGATTTCGCCGCTTCGTCTTCAAATTATCCCGGGTGCAATTGCACACCTTCGTTTGGCCCCCTTCCTTTGCGCAGGCGCACGGCATTTTGATGGTGGTGGTGTGGGTGTTTTTCTTCCCCGCGGGCGTGCTGGCCGCGCGGTACCTGCACCACCTGGACCCGCTCTGGTGGCACCTGCACCGCGCCTTCCAGGGCACCGGCTTCCTGCTCTTCGCCATTGCGCTGGGGCTCAGCCTCAAGTGCAAGGCGGTGGACGGCCGCTACTCCACCGCACACAAGGTGCTCGGGGTCTTCCTGCTCGTCGCCGTCTGCCTGCAGGTGACAGCCCGCCCCTCACAGCCGGGGCTTTCTCCGGGCAAGACCGCCTTTGGTGGATCAGCGCCCAGAAGTATTCCTGCAAGCAATTTTGCCCTGGGTAGCCGCTTGCATCAGCTTGAGCAAATTGTGTGGCGCGCGGGTCTTGCTCGACGAGTACTGATTATACCGACGGAGGGCTTGCTTAAATCTGCTTGTACGGCAGAAACCTTAGTTCTCATCCCGGCACTACAAGCCAGTCTTTCCGCCAACAACAAGGTTGGTTTGAGTCCGAGCGACCCTTGCTCATCCTGGAATCCTGGTGAAGACTACACTTCTGCGCTCGTCTAGTTTGCCTTCATTTGCGACAGAAACGAGGCTGTTACCGTATACACTTGCTTTGCTCATATTCCACCCTTTGCGACGTTGCTCCAGGTGGCTGCGGTGGTGCTGCGCCCCAAGAAGACGGCCAAGATCCGCTTCGCGTGGAACCAGTACCACCACTGGCTGGGCCGCACCGCGCTGCTTCTGTCCATCCCCAACATCTACCTCGGCATCAAGCTCTTCGCGGGCGGCTCCGCCTTTGCCGCCGTCTACAGCGTTCTGTGGATCCTAGTGCTCCTCGCGTTCGTTTGTTTGGAAGTCTGGTGGCGGCTGCGCGGCCCGTGGAGCCGGGGCCACAAGGACCCGGACGCGCTGCCCCAGGTGGGGCCGTCCGTGTCGTCCGCGCAGCTCAACGGGGTCGAGCTCAACGGGCAAGCGCCTAAAGGGCAGGAAGAGTACCAGCCGTACTCATTCTCGGCAGGGAACGAGGGCCGGCGCTTCTAGAGTTTTGCAAGTGAATGAGTTCGTCACTAGAAACCCTTGTTGACGCATGGGGTTGCTTCTTGTGCTCCGACTGGCATGCTGCTAGGCCGCTGCGTGTCAAGTTCGCCTTTGTGATGGCAATTATCGACTCGGTTTCAGGGTCACGTAGATGCCTGTCGCAGAAGGTTGGTTGGCTGGCATCTTTGTCAAGGCTTAATTGTACAGATTGATCAGGTATACTTTATAAAAGCCGGATGGTTCAGATCCGATCTTGTCAACTCGCGTGTAGCTAAAAGAGCGCAAAATTGAGGTGATGAACCTCGATACGGAAAATGAGATTCAATTTAATTCGATGTTTAGTACACAAACCAATAGAACTTCAATAGTTAATCACAGTAAAACAATGCAAGCATGGCACCACATGGGTTACCAGACCTAAGTTGCAACCGAGAGGACGTTAATGTATACCGTGTCTCATGTGCAATTTGATCAATTGCTGGCACTGCAGCTGCCATAAATCATTATAGTATGCCGTCAATTAGCAACGGTATGCGCTGCATTAATCGATTTGAACTTAGAAGCGGCCCCATATATGCATGGCGGCGGCCTATATATATGTACGTTTCGACCTGGCACGGGCCATGCATGATACACATGATCATATATAATATAATATTTTCATCAGCTTGCGACGCAGGCATGATAGCTTTTGCAACATGCAATATGATGCATGTCATGCCTGCTCTAACGGCGCGCCGGCGGGCGCATGGCCCACAAGCCATATACATGGGCCTATATATATAGCTCATGTGCATCATGCAGTGGTAGTACGTCGGATACATCATATCATGTGCGGCTAGATTACTATGAATTATATCGATATCGCGCTTTACGCGTCCATTGGAGTCTGTAAGGTCACTGGAAAACCTAGCTGGACTCGGGAATTCATGGTTTTGGTAGCGCGCGCTGTGGCGCGGCTGTGAATTGCATGTGCCTGCCCTTTCTGGACCGATGATACAAGGCCGTAGTATCTGGTCGACGGTTCAGTGAAGTTTGATTGATCTACGAAGCGCCGGGCCGCCTCAAAACGTGGCATCCGAGCCCGCGTCTATAGGGCATGAGCCTACAGTTCATGCAGCGTGCCTGCAAGAGTGACGCACTCGAATGCGTGCGCCGGCTCGGCCACAATTTGCGCAATGCTTTGTGACTTGTACAATTGATCGAGGATTCGCTATTTTGACACAGAGATCTTTTGACACTCAGATCGGATCACTCGGTCCAAACACATCCGTTGCGCTGCAGTATTATGAAGTTTTGTGGTCATGTCCCCTTGGCCGGTAGCTTTTCCGTCAACTCGGGGACAATTTTGAACAGGTCGCCCACGAGACCAAAGTCGGCGATCTGGAAGATGGGCGCGTCCCCGTCCTTGTTGATGGCCACGATGACCTTGGAGTCCTTCATGCCCGCCAGGTGCTGGATCGCGCCGGAGATGCCCACAGCGATGTACATGTCCGGGGCCACCACCTTGCCCGTCTGGCCAACCTGAGACAGAACGCGCGCGGCCGACGTGAGGCCCTACGTCCTTCCCAGTCTAGAGTCTAGAGGCTGCTCAAGCTTGACGGGTCACCACACACGGAACAGGCCATACGTACTTGACAAGTCCGGAAGAGGATCTAGCATGAGGCACTACAGGAGCTAATGGAAGCCGAGTGCCGACGACTTTGGCACCTCTCCTCGAGGGTGGGCACTAGAGGTATTGGAGATTCAGCATCAGAAGGCGATTGGAATGCCTCACGAACAACTTGCGCCACTGGTGCAGGGGCCTAAAAGGGGGCTCAACTCTTCCACTTCGAGGACTGTGCGGCAGCGCCAATAAAGGAGAGTTAAGCTGCATCTGAGCGCAGAACGCTTCACCGGCGGCTCACCTGCATGTCGTTGGGCACATACCCCGCGTCCACTGCGGCTCGAGATGCGCCGACTGGAGGGGGCGGGGACGATTGGGGACGTCAGCAGACGCAGAGTGCCGAGAAGTCGGGCGCTCCACGGGGTCTTGGATACGATACAATCCAGAACATGCAATGGCAGGCTCGAAGAAAGCAGCATGAGTACGAACTGCTTTGAAGCTTACAGGAGAAGTCAATGAACAAGTTTTCATACTTTGAACCAAAGCCGTGCCCTTAAGAATGAAAGCAAGTCCTTCCGTTGAAAGTTTTCGCCACTACGGGCGATATCACCAGGGCCACTTGTCTGCCCTCAACAGATCCACGTGTCCCCACCTGCGCCCCCCAGCTTGTCCGCCAGCTCCTCCAGCAGCTTGAAGTTCTCCGCGGACTTGAGCGCACGCCCCCCCGAGACGACCACTTTGGCACTCCCCAGCTCGGGCCGCTCGCTCGTGCTCAGCTCCTCGCCCACCCACTCCACCCGCCCCACGCTCTCGTCACAACCGGGCACTCCCTCGGGCAGCTCCAAAGGAGAGACGGGTGCCCGGCTGCCATCTCCCGACTGCTTGGCGGGCTCGAAGGCGGTGGGGCGGATGGTTAGAAGGAAGGGTCCAGAGCCAGGGAAGCGAACCGTGGCCAGAGCGTTGCCAGCGTAAATGGGCCTGTGACGGGAGAGAACTCCTACAAGTATTCAATGAATTGAATCGGATAGAGCCTGGACGAGGACCAGTCTTAGTTGGCTATTAGAAGGTCCTGATCGGTGACCAGTCTGCCACATGGTCACGAAGTCCCTGCAATCGTACCGTTACATCCAACCACACCCGAGCTTGGACGGAGCAGATCGCGCTCGTTGGAAGACAGCCAGGGCTGGAATTACCGGCGTCACACTCTCAAACGTCCGAGATCCGCGCGTCCAGAACTTTATTCCCATGTTCAAGCTCGGACAGAAGGCAGCTAGAGAGCAGCTTGCACCATTTCCCGCAAGGAATCGAGCCGACTGGACCTTCGTGTCCTACATCATGCCCGCTGGAGCAACAACAGAGTTTGTGAGCTCAAGTGTCGAGAAGTGCTTCAAGAAACTCTACCATCAATCGACGGGCCTTCATTTCCCTGTCGTTTGATTCTTTCGCATTAGACACCCTGAGATTGGGATACTGCTTCACGAGGACATCAAAAAATCTCGGAACAAGGGCGTCGATCGCCAGCCTTCTTAGTGGTTTCTAACCAAAACTCTCGCTGTAAGGCCTTCAGCCCTCACCTGACGAACGTCTTGGTGTCTACAATCTGTACAACGTCGCTGACCGGTGCCACGTCCAGCAGGGCGGCTGCCCGGGGGAGCAGGTTCTTGCCGAAGGTGCTGTGGGGGGCCACGACGTAGTCGAACTGCCGCTGGCCGTGCAGCCACACCAGGACCTCCGCCAGCGGCTCCGCCACCGCGTGCGCCAACGCAGCGTGGTCGGCAGTCAACACCTGCAGGCGCCGCAGCAATGGGGCTATATTAGCAACAGCTGGCACTGTCGACCACCAGCTCTCAAATCAGATGAGAGGGGGCACGGTGAAGAAGCTCTTGAAAGCCCCTATGGTGTAGCGACCAAAACTGGCAATACCAAGGGCCGCAAGCCAGAACTGAATCCATCCCCTCATTTTCCCTGTAAGTGCTGTTTGCTTCTTGGACAGTTTCACAGGTGCTTGTCCAGCCTACCTGTGGAACATCAGGACGAAAGGGGCACTCAAAAAGTTGTGATCCGGCTGGCTTCACCAAACCACTATCAAAAGAATTGCTTCTGAAGCCTTCAGGCAGGCCGCAGGAGGGCACGCATGCTGCTGACCAAATGGATTCTGAGAGTACTTCACTCTAGTTCCCCAGCTCGGGGTGTGTCTGACCACTTTGTTTGTCGAACCACCTCTCAAGCATACGTAGAGCAGGATGAAGCAGAACCAAGACCTCATTCGGGCTTCGAACCTGCCCTGTGTTGACGGAAAGCAAACAGCAAGAAGAGACCCCAGGCTCAATGAGCGCTAGCAGTCTTTGTTTCAAGAAGAAAGGCAACTTCAGGCAAGGACTTCCTCTCTGAAGAACCTTCCCTTTGTCACCTTGTTGATGCACTCACTTCCTTGACCCCTGCTGCCTGGCTGGCTGCCTCTGCCACGGGCGCCACCCCCTGCCCCGCCACCAGCAGCGACACCGGCTGCCCCAGCTGCCCCGCCGCAGTGACGGCCGCCAGGGTGCCGCTCTTGGGGGCCCGCCCATCGTGCTCCACCACCACCAGAGTGCCCGCCTGGCCAAGCGGGAGAACCATAGAAAGGAGCAAGTCAGAGGGGGCAAACGAGCAATGTAAAAGTGCCAGTTATTAGCATGTCATAAGTCCAATCCATGCCAGCAGGCATTCTGCAACAAAGGCACTTGACGGCTTATCTCATTTGTTCCTCATTGGACTCTGGAGTATTCTGTGCTTCGACCACTATAGACTCCAACGCGTCAGGACTGGTCTATAGCCGTGAACTTTTCAAGAAAAACAACCTCCTCAAGTCATCCGGCTCATTCTCACCGCCATCAAATCAAAGTCAAAATCATTCGAGCAAAGGACTTGACTGCATCAAAGCTGCTGCGACTGTGCATGCCGGTTTCAACAGATTTTGCAGCTGCGTTTTTGGCGTGTTGCACGCCCAGCAAAAGAAGGGCTGGGACTACAAACAAAGATAGCTGATTGCTGTAGGGTGAAACATACACGAGTTGGAATGAAAGGCTGGACATCAATCTGTCCTTGAAAGTATCTTCCACCGTTAAACGTCAGAAAGCCAAGAATTGAGCAATCCAGCTGTTTCGTATGGAAAGCCCCAGCACTTTCGAGCTGATGCAAGGGAGTTCTTCAAAGATACGTCGCCGCATGTACTGGCAGGTCTTCAGCTGCTGGTGCTCACCCATCTGCACAGGCTGGTAGCACACCCGTGCACCGCGCCCAGCTGGGAGCTGGCCCACCCGCTAGCGCTGCCTTGCACAGAGGGACGCAGCTGCAGCCCTGCTCGGGCAAGCCCCGCCTGCAGCTGCAAGAGAGCGGCCATGCCGGCAAGTCGTAACCTGAGAGAAACACTGTGCAACACTCCAAATCTTCGAAGCTGGAACGACTTGGTGCGCACAACCATCCAACAGTCCATGCGAGAGTGAGAAGCGAGTGCGAGAATTAGGGTTCCGCCAAGCTTGGCTAGTGGCTGACTTTATTTGGACATATTGGGTACTATGAACTGGCAAATCTGATGAGAAAATTGCGTAAATCTGCTCCTGAAAGCCGTCCGATGCATTCCAAAGCTGCGATGAAGCGTCCATCATTTGCTCTGATGGTACATAAGCAGCGGGTCAGACGAGCAGCTATGGATAATAGTGCTGACCCCGCTCAAGATATGACATCATGATCAACCTCCAAGCACACCAACTTCAACTTCAAGAACCACACCAAGAACCACACCACAATCTTGTCCCTTCCGGATAGCACTGTTAGCAGCCCCAACGCCCCCCTGGGGCGGCTACTCTTTGCTTGAATATCTGGGTGGATAGGTGGTGCAGGTTGGAGCCAGGGTTCTTGTTGTCCACTCTCCTATCCAGGTGGTTGCCAGCCCGCGCTTGCTTTGTTGTTCCTCAGTCAGTCAGCATGCAGGCGGCAATTGGGCAGAAGCCCAAAATTGACCTGAACGCCCGCCCCCCGGCCAACTATGTGGCGGGGCTGGGGAGAGGTGCCGCAGGGTTCACCACCCGTTCAGATATTGGGCCAGCGAGAGCGACGGTTGACATGCCCGATGCATCACAACTCGCAGCCAAGGGGGCGGGCAGGGCCGCAGAGGGGGTGGGCAGGGCCGCAGAGGGGGCAGAGGAGAAGTACGATGAGAACCAGAAGTTTGACGAGTTTGAGGGAAATGATAACGGGCTGTTTGCGGGGGGCGACTATGACGAGGATGACAAGGAGGCAGATGAGATTTGGGAGAGTATAGACGAGAAGATGGACGAGAGGCGGCGAGAGCGGCGAGAGGCACGCCTGAAGGAGGAGATTGAGAAGTATCGTGCAGACAATCCCAAGATCACCGAGCAGTTTGCGGACCTGAAGCGGAAGCTGGGCACGCTGAGCGCGTCGGACTGGGAGGCCATCCCGGAGATTGGGGATTACAGCATGCGCAACAAGAAGAAGCGCTTTGAGAGTTTTGTCCCGGTCCCAGACACACTGCTGGAGCGTGCACGGCAGGAGAACGAGCGGGTGACAGCGATTGATCCTCTGGGGGGGCTGGAAACGCCCATGGGCAGCACCCCCGTGACGGACTTGATGGCGGTTGGGGAGGGGCGCTCCAGCGTGCTCAAGATCAAGATGGACAAGCTGTCAGACAGCGTGTCGGGGCAGTCGACGGTGGACCCCAAGGGCTATCTCACGGACCTCAAGAGCATGAAGATCACGAGCGACGCTGAGATTGGCGACATCAAGAAGGCGCGGCTGCTGCTCAAGTCGGTCATCCAGACCAACCCGAAGCACGCGCCAGGGTGGATTGCGGCGGCGCGGCTGGAGGAGGTGGCGGGGAAGATTGGGGCGGCGCGCACGCTGATCCAGAGAGGATTCGAGGAGTGTCCCAAGAACGAGGACGTCTGGCTGGAGGGCAGCCGGCTGCAGACGCCCGAGAATGCGAAGCTGGTGCTGGCCAAGGGCGTGGCCGCAATCCCGAACTCGGTTAAGCTGTGGATGCAGGCGGCGCGGCTGGAGCAGGACGACGCGGCAAAGAGCCGAGTGCTGCGGAAAGCGCTGGAGCACATCCCAAACTCGGTGCGGCTGTGGAAGGCGATTGTGGAGCTGGCGAGCGAGGATGACGCGCGGATCCTTCTGTCCCGCGCAGTCGAGTGCTGTCCGGCGCATGTGGAGTTGTGGCTGGCGCTCGCGCGGCTGGAGAGTTACGAGAAAGCGAAGCAAGTGCTCAACCTGGCGCGGAAGACACTCCCAACAGAGGCGATCATTTGGATCACGGCGGCGAAGCTGGAAGAGGCGAACAACAACCCCGCGATGGCCAAGAAGATCATCCAGAAGGCGGTGCAGAGTTTGCCGAGCCACGGGGTGGTGATTGACCGCGAGGCCTGGATGAAGGAGGCGGAGGCGGCGGAGCGGGCGCAGAGTGTGGCAACATGTCATGCCATCGTAGAAGTTACGGCGGAAGTGGGGGTGGAGGAAGAGGACCGCAAGAGAACTTGGATGGCGGACGCGGAGGATCTGAAGAAGCGGGGCAGCGTGGAGACGGCGCGCGCAGTTTACCAGCACGCACTGGGCGTTTTCCCCGGGAAGAAGTCGGTTTGGCTGCGCGCGGCGCAGCTGGAGAAGAGTGCGGGCACGCGGGAGAGTCTGAACGCGCTGCTGGAGAGAGCGGTGAAGTACTGCCCACAGGCGGAGGTGCTGTGGCTGATGCTGGCCAAGGAGCAATGGCTGGCGGGGGACGTCGACGCAGCGCGCAAGGTGCTGGAGCAGGCGTTTGTGGCCATCCCTGGGTCCGAGGAGATCTGGCTTGCGGCGTTCAAGCTCGAGTTCGAGAACAAGGAGCCTGAGCGTGCGCGATTCCTGCTGGCGAAGGCGCGGGAGAGCCGCGCGACCGAGCGGGTGTGGATGAAGTCGGCAATCGTGGAGCGGGAACTGGGGAACGCGGAGGAGGAGCGGCGGCTGCTGGAGGCCGGAATCAAAGCCTATCCTGGCTTCCATAAGCTATGGATCATGTTGGGGCAGCTGGAGGAGCGGCAGGGGCGGGTGGCGGCCGCACGGGATGCGTACACAAAAGGCGTGCGGCAGTGCCCGCACAGCGTGGTGCTCTGGCAGTGCGCGGCAATGCTGGAGGAGAAGGAGAAGAATCTGGGGAAGGCACGCGCGGTGCTGGAGCAGGCGCGGCACAAGAACCCGCAGACGCCGGAGTTGTGGCTGTCGGCAGTGCGGATCGAGGCACGAGCGGGGAACAGGAAAGCGGCGGAGAGCCTGATGGCGAAGGCACTGCAGGACTGTCCGGAGAGCGGGGTGCTGTGGGCGGAGGCCATTGCAATGTCGCCGCGGCCGGAGCGCAAGCGCAAGAGCGTGGACGCGCTCAAGAAGTGCGACCACGATCCGTTTGTGATTGCGGCGGTGGCGAATGAGTTCTGGCGGGACCGTAAGGTGGAGAAGGCGCGCACCTGGTTCAACCGCGCGGTCACGCTCAAGCCAGACATAGGCGACTTCTGGGCGCAGTTTTACAGGTAAGCGCCGTGTAACATAGGACAACTGCTTGGCACAACTTCATACAAGTTGAGGTCGACGGGTTTGAGTTGCTCGACTGGGAAGGTTAGGAGTCGAACGCTGCCACCCTGGTTGTGACAGTGGTCCGAATCTGTTTGAGAAGCCGTTTAGAGATTATATGTGCCAATTGTGCAAGTACTTGGACCTCAGGTCACATCTGCTACTTAGCCAAGACCTGTCGCCAAAGACATTTATCTTGAAAGGTCGTTGGATTTTCTTAGCTTGCTTTTCACAATGGTCGAGCTGTATCTTTGTCAAGTACGTGCGCTACTTTCTCCCCCGAACTCACCTTTCTCTATCTTTTTTGATATCGACTCTGTCAGACTCGTCCTTCTTTTCCTGGCGTTTGGTATTTGGGACCTGATCATTCCCTCCTTCCTTCCGCAGGTTCGAGTCGCAGCACGGGAGTAAGGAGCAGCAGGAGGAGGTGGTGTCTCGGGCGGTCGCCGCGGAGCCGCACCACGGGGAGCGGTGGCAGAAGGTGGCCAAGGCCGTCGAGAACGCGCACGAGCCCGTGGAAGCGCTCCTCAAGAAAGTCGCAAGGTCGTTTGCAACGGCAGAGGCGGCGGCAGCAGCGGAAGGAACTTAGTTGAGGAGGGGCAGAAGGGCTAAGGGCTGTGTAAGCACGGCAATGAGTGGCTTCGAGGGGAGGTGCACGAATCAAGGGCTGTAGATTGAACGCAGACAAAGTAAGTGGTGCCAAATGTACAGTATTTTAAAGGAAGTTGAGCTGGAAGCCTCCACTTGGATCACTCGTCGGCCATTTTAAATTTTGCCTGTCAGTTGCAAAGTCAGTCTGCGAATGAATTCATGCAGGCTTCTTAACAATTTGGTAACGGCCGACCGTCGATTGCGAATCCATCGAGTGCCTGGGGGTCGGATCCAGCTGTTGTATGTGCGGACTGAACGGTAGGCATGCGACTCATCCGATCAACTGAGCGCACGCCGCCATCGTGTCGTCACAGCGCCTGAGTGCATGCCAGCACCGCCACCTGCCACCTGCACATTCTAGTCATTCGGGGATGCACACAAGCAATTGCAAATCGATGAGGTCGATCATTGGTTTCATACATACAGCTGTGCTACCTATAGCCGGCGCGGCCCCGTACACGAGTATATTCGTGCACCATGCAGCTAGCTAGTATACAAACTGTGATGCACGTGACGTGACGCGTGGCCGGCGGCCGCCACGCGTGTTTATATAATCGTGCGTGCTCTTGGCACATTCATGAGTCCATCATTGGAATGTCAGATATGATCCGGGCCTCATTGCCAGGAGAGGTCCATGCACAACTTCCGTCCCGCATCCATGCACGACTCTGATCAGTGCGAAACTGCCTTTTGAGTCATTGCATCACTAAGAATGCTGTCTTTCAGGCCTTGTTAGTACGTCACGGCATGCATGCAAATTGTTATCATACTGACCAGAAACAGCGGGCAGCAAAGTGACCAGCAACAGCGGGGGCAACTTGACCTGAATAGGATTCACACATAAGTTTCGCACATTCTATGCTGACCGTCCGTACGTAACCCCAAGCCTAAGCGGCCGAGCCAGCCATTATAATTACGCACTGCACAACGTAAGCTGTCACTCGATCATATAAGCAAAGTAATGTTTTTCAGTCAAGTCAAGATGACCAACGCCCGACCTTGGTCTTGACTTCTTCCTTCCGTTTTAACGAGCTATCAATGACAAGAGGACCTTCCATCAACACCTTTAGCCATGTCACTACTTTGTTCAAAATCTGTACAGACCGTAGCTTTATGTCGATGGTTCCTGAGCTGGGCATCGTACACCTCAAAATCGTTGCTGCATTTGCCAATGGATGTCCCGGATCTGCCGCTTTACCTCCCAAACTTCCGACGCTTCGACTTTCACATTCCGCCTCGCTCCTCCCCTACCCCACGACTGCGCCCTCCAGCGCGGGCTCTGCTGCGTCGCCGCCTTCCTGCTCGCTGGCCGGCTGCTGCCCGCCGGTGTCGAAGGCGACGCGGAAGACGTCCTCGTATGTCTCCGCGAAGTGCACCTCCAACCCCGCTGTGACGTCGTCCGCGAGCTCGTCCCACGCGTGTGCGCACTCGGCGGGCAGGATGATCGTCTGCACGCCGGCGCGCCGCGCGGCCGAAACCTTCTCCTTGATGCCGCCTACCGGCAGCACACGCCCCACCAGCGTGATCTCGCCCGTCATCGACAGATTCGGCCGCACCGGCCTGCACCCAACGCAGCCGCGGGGGGGCACGTCAGGGCGTGGAGCAAGCAGCGAGGCAGAGGCAAGGCTTAGAGATACACGGCTACAGCAAGACGTCAGCACCACTGCAAAGGAACACGAGCAGCAGAGAACGGTGTGATTAGTCGCAAGTCGCAAGGTCGACGTCACTTCGCAGGACATTCACTCTTGCAACCGACTCGGGGCGCGCTGCCAGCCCATCGTTTGAAGCAGAGGTGTCAACGTTGTTGCGGTGTGGAAAGTCCGCGCCTCACTTGTCCATGGCGAGCGAGAGCAGCGCGGTGACGAGCGTGACCCCCGCGGACGGCCCGTCCTTGGGGGTGGCGCCCTCGGGCATGTGCACGTGGATGCGCGCGTGGTCGAAGTAGGCGTTGTCCGGCTGCTTGGCGGCGAGGACGCGCGCGGCCACGCTGTGCGCGATGGTGGTGCTCTCCTTGAGCACGTCGCCCATCTGGCCCGTCGCCAAGATGCTGCCCTCGCGGCTGCCGGCAGACTTGCTGATCAGACTGCATCAAAGACAGGGGGCGCGCACAGGATCAGCTTTGAGCCCGCAAGGGTTTGAACAAAGGGAGTGATGATAAGCTAGCTCTAGGAAACAGCACGGGGCGAAGCAACAACAAACGCTGTTTAGACCAGGGAGAACATGAAGATACCGTTTTGGATTGGGTCCTCGAAGATCGTCAAAGAGATTCAGTCAATAGATAGTACCAACGACGCTCTAAAAGGACGCTTTGGGAGCGGTTGAAGCTTGGACTCCGCCTCCGACGCCTAGACTTCAACCCAACATTTCACAGACCACAGCCGAATACAAAAAGCAGCCAAGCATTGTCCGGGCCTCTCTTTCCCCCCGGCTTCCCTCACCTGGCCTCGATGTACGCGATCTGGCCGCCTGCCTGCGTGGTGACGAGGCCCATGACGACCCCGGTGGGCGTCTGCGCGTACCAGCGCTCCTTGCCCCACTTGGGCCGCCCCAGGTACTTGCGCAAATTGTCCAGCCCCACCACCGTGCGCGTGCTCGCCAGCACAACTTCCGTCCGCTCCGCCTCCACGCGCAGCGCCGCCTCCTCGCCGCCCACCGCCGCGCTCGCCCCACCATCCGGCCGCGACGCCCCGCTGGCTGCGTCCTTCACGGGCCCTGTCGTTCCTGGCGCCACGTCGAGGGTCTCCCCTTGCCTGTCCGCCGACTCCCCTCTCGATCCGGCGCCGGTGCGCCCTCCCTCCGCAGCGTTTGCTGCTACTAGCTGAGGCTCGCCCGGTAACGTCCTGCTGGCCGTCGATGTCCCCCTATCTTCCAGCTCCGCTTGTCTACTGCTTTCTGAAGATGCCCCCCTTTCGCCAGCGGCTACCCCGTGCCTCTCTCTGCCACTCCCGCCTGGCAGCCTCTCCTCTGCGCGCTCTGGCGCCCCGCGTGCATCGTCGCCCAGCCTGGTCCCCGTGCTTTGCGGCCCGTCCTCCTCCACGACCAGGTTGACGCGCGGGGTGGCACAGCGGACGGGCGCGGCTCTCTGCCTACGCTGCAGGGCCTCGATGGTGCCGGTCGGTGGCTGCGCTGCGTGCGGGTTGAGCACACCCAGGTCCGCCGCACTCAGCTTCGGATAAACTCCTGCACAACCGAGCCGTGCACCAGCTTGAGTGACTGTCCGCACAGGCCAGGTGAGAGAGGCAGCACCGCCCTGCGGACATAACGCAGATGCTAGCACGAGTTCGTTGACACAAAGCCTCACACCGCCAGTGTAACAGCAGTCGCTTTCTTCTTCGCCCTCTTGCCCCCTTGCTTGCAGCAGGGCTCACCTTCTGATCGCTCCTCAAACCAACGATGCAGGCCCCCTTGCTGCTCGGCCGCCCGCGGTGCCTCGGTGCGCTCGCGCAGGTATGCCCACAGCAGCTCGTACAGCTCCGCCTCCACGTGCGGGTTGCCCCGGGCCCGCTCCTGGGGGGTGGCCTTCGCCCCCTCCTGGCCGCGGGCCGGCTTCTTCAGCTGGAGCAACGGGCCCAGGGCGCCCCCTTCCGCCCGGTTCAGAAGGCGTCCCGGGACGGCCCTTCTGTAGTTGTCAAACAGGAGCTGTCTCAGGGCCCGCTGCTCGCGCACGTCGCCAAAGCTCTCCGCAGGAAGCTGCAGGACCCGGGTGGTGTTGAGGAGGGGGCCGTAGAACAATTCCGGAGACCACAGTACGGCCCGGCACGCCTTGAGCAGCACGGCCCCCTTCGCGTCGTGCAAGTTCTTCTTTCCTTTCGCCACCACCCCGAGGAGCCCCCCCTGACCCGGGCTGCTCCCAAATACCGCCTCGACAACTGCCCGCAGTGGGCCGGCTGTTTTCGCAAAGCTGTGCATCAGCGCGGCTTGGAGGGAGTCCAGCGCCTGAGAGAACAGCGCGTCGGGCTGCGTGCTGCGCACGGCGCGCTCGGTGTTCATGTGCAGCAGCGCTTCCAGGAAGCCTGCCGCCGCCTGCGCCCCCTCGTCCGCCTGCCGCTTCCAGCCCCCGGCCGCATCGAAGAGGCGCCAGCGCTCAAAGAAGGCAGTCGCGGCGCGCACCAACTCCAGGTCCACCTCAGCTGCCGCTGGCAGCGCCTGTCCCGGGAACAGCTCCTCCAGGGGGTCCCCCAGGCGCCACCGCTGCCCGCTGGTCCGCAGGGGGGGCTGTTCCCCAAGCGCATCGCGCGTGGCCACGTCCAGGTCGAGCAGCTCGAGGCCGTCGTGCAGCTCCGCCGAGGGCGGCGCCTTCATCCGCTCCACTGCGTACGCCGCCTGGGCAGAGTGCATCAGCGCCAGCCGCAGGCGCAGCACGTCCCGCGGGGAGCGCTGCCCCGCGCGCACCGCTGCGTACTGGGCGTGTGCTGCGGCGTCTGCGGCCTTCTTGTGGCCCTCCAGAATGCTCTGTCGGGACGCACCGCTGCTGTCGCTCTCCAGAAACTTGAGCGTCAGCTCGGCCTGCGCCCCCCGGCCCAGCTCTCCTGGGGACGGAGTCGGCAGTCGGAGATGGGGGAACAGAGGGGGGCGGGCGTCGGTGGCAGGCGGTGCCCGCTCTAGTTCCGCGGTGCCGCCCTGAAGTTGCTTCAGCACGGCAGGCTCCTCGTAGAGCAGCAGGGGCTCTGCGCCGCCCGGCGTCGGCTTCCATTGCAGCGGCACCTTGCGCGACACGAGCGCCCACTCCAGCGGGGTCCGCCCCGAGAAGCCCAGCAGCCGGCCCACGTCTTGCGCACGCCGCGCGTCGATCTCCGTGCCCCAGGAACAACCTTGCGCTGCCAGCTTGTCGAAGAGTGGCGCGTAGCGCGTGCGCTTGTGCTGCAGGTCCGCCAGCAGGAAGCCGTGCAGCAGCAGCGCGCCCTCGTTGGGGTTGCGCGGCCGCGTTGCCTGCGCGCCGTAGCCGGGCCAGGCAGTCAAGGTGCGGAAGGGCCCCTCCAGCACGGCCAGCCAGTGCTGCGCGCGCGCACACACCCGCAGCTGCTGCTGTTCCTCCGTGCTCAAACCCGCCACTCCGAACTCAGCCCCCGCTGCGCCGCTGGTTGCCTCCGTAGACTGCCCCTGGCTCGCAATCGTCTCTGGTCGCAGGGTGGCCCCCTCGCCTGGCCAGCGCATGTTGTACCCGTCCGGCAGGATCATGCTCCTCCCATCAAAGACATAGAGCGCCTCGTTCCGCAGCAGCAGTGGCGTGAGCTCGCGCAGGAAGGCCAGGTTCCAGGCGTCCCCTTGCTGCTGCGTCAGGCGCGGATACGTCAGCCCCTCCAGGCACCCCGGGTTCACCGCCGTGTTGTACAGCACCGCCGCCACGTGCAGCCCCAGCAGCCCGTCCGTGTCCAGGTCAGCGGGCACGGCGACCCCCGGCCCCGTTTCGAGCGCGGTCCAGTCCGTCGCCAGCCCGAACTCTGCGAGGGCGTCCTTGAAGCCCGCAAATGCCGCCTTGAGGTCGTCCGTCTGCTCGGGCGGGAGCTGCCCCGCGACCGCCTGCCCCAGCAGGTCCGCAAAGCGCTGCAGCGGCTCCACGCGTGGCGCCTCTACTGCGGCCGCCAGCCACTCCGCCACCAGCGTCTCCGCCTCCAGCTCGCCCGAGTCCGCCGCCACCGCGTACGCCGCTGCGCGCTGCACCATCTCCCGCGCGGCCGCCACCACGCCGGCGCTGGGCGGCAGCTGGCCCGAGTACATGTTGCGCAGCACGTGCAGCGCGGGCCACAGGCTCGCCTCCACCTCGCGCCCACGCCCCTCCAGCGCCGCTCCCCGACCCCCGCCGGGCCTCTTCACAAATGATTGAATTGCCCGCTGCGCATCCTTCGACTCAGGGTTCTGCCACAGGCCCCGGGGCACCATGTCTAGGCCGGGCCTCGCTTCCCCCTCGCCCACCATCGCCCCGCTGCTGCTTTCCTCCCCAGCTCGCACATTCGAACGGCCCACCTCCGCTCGCCAGTGCCGTTCAAGAGCGCGCCACCAGGACCGCAGCAATACCACCCCCTCAGCATTGCCCTGCGGGAAGGCCGCTCCCGCGTGCTGTCGCAATACGGCGGCCCCCTGGCCCCCCTCCTGTGCCGCGGCTGCCGCCCACGCCTGGCCGTCCACTGCCGCCTTGATGCCGTCCAGCTGTGCCTGCGCCGCCGCAGGCCGCCCCTCCAGTGCGCGCCCCCACTGGAGCAGCAGCATCTCCACCTCCCCCAGTGCCGCCTCCACCGTGTGCCGCTCGTCGCCCCTGCACTCCGCCCACTCTCCGCGCACCCCTTCCAGCTTCTCCCGCGCCCACACTGCAATCGCCACCTGCTCCATTGCTGCCACCGCTGCTTCGTTCTGCTCACCGCCCGCCTCGTCCGCCTCACCCGTCTCGTCCGCCACGTCTTCTTGCCCCTCCCTCGCGAGCAGCCACAGCGCGGTTTCCCGCGGCTTCCCGCTCAGCTCCGCCATGACGGCCACGTCGTCCTTGCCCAGCAGCTGCCGCACCTTGCGTGCGTGGTGCTCCACGTCTAGCTCCGCGCGCGTCAGCGGCCACGCAGGGTGGTCCACGGACGGCCCCGCGCCCGCCTCCACCTCCGCCACCATTTGCAGCTCCGCTTCCAGCAGGTCCAGCTCGCCACCCTCCCCCGTGGGCAACTCCGCATTGGCCAGCAGCGCGGTCAAGTCTTCTGCCTGATTCGTGTTGGTTGGCCGGAGCGCGTCCCACCGCTGCAATGCCTCGTCCAGCTTGCGCAGCTGGTACTTGAGGGTCCGCACGCGCGCCGCAAATTGCGGATCGACGCGCGCACCGGCAGCTTCCGTGGCGCGCGCATCCAGCGGCTGTGCTGTGCCCACCACCAACTCCGGAACCTCCTCCTGTGCTCTTCCTCTTTCCCCGACCACAGCCGTGACGAGCTCCGAACTCAACCCGCCTCCCGAATTGCCTGCAACTTCCAGACCTTGGCGTGTCTCCTCTTTTGAAGGCGTCGCTTGCCTCGTTTCCCGCAGAACCGCCGCAGCAGAAGTCTCTCCTCCAGTACTGCTTGATGGCGCGTCAGCTTGGCGCCCTTGCGTGGGCCCCTTGTTACCCGTGACCACCACTTCCATCCCTGGACTCCCCACGTTCCTGCCGCTCTTCTTGTTCCCCCACGGTCGCCACCCCGACCTCCCTGCGTCCCCCACTTTGTGCTCTGCCGCCGCTCCTTCCCCTCGGGCGCGCATGCGGTCCAGTAACGTCTCCAGCACCTCCATGCTCGCACCGGCACTCTTACCCGTACCCACCCCCCGTTCGTTTCGCCCAGCCTTTTGATTGCTGCCCCGAGCTGCCTCCCCATTCAGTGGCGACTTGGCATCGCTTCCTGGTGGCCCTTCCAGGTTCCAAGCTTCCGTTTCAGAAACCGAGCTCCCGCTCGTGCCAGCTTCGAGTTGCCTCGAACTCAAGTGCTCGCCATTGCCCTCGAATCTTAAGCTTTCTCTCACGTCAAGCCCTCCAACAAAGGTACTGCTGTCGCCCCCGTCTGCTGTCTGTGCGCTGCCCTCCCCCCGTGATGCTTCAACCACCACCTGCTCCCCGCTGCTCGCACCTCGCTCGCCCTGTTCCATAACCCCAGGGGGAGTACTTCCATTCGGAAGGCCGCCTGGGTTCGCGGTAGTGTCCGTCGTGGCTAAGGGCGTGCTAGGCGTGGTGCGCCCTTCCTTGGCCTGCCTGGCGTCCACCAGCTCCAGGGCAATCTGCAGTTCAAGGGGCACACGAGCAGAACATTCAGTCGGTGAAGCTAGCAGCTCTACGCAAGACCAGCTGTTGGCGCTGGCCGCAGCAGATTGTCCGCAGCTGCTGCGCTCTACCAGAGAAAAACCAAAATGCTCCTGATGGCTTCAGAACTGCTGATCGTGGCAGACACATGATCGCGCATGACCTGCGCAGGCTGGACAGGCAGTGCATCGGGGCAGCCCAGGGGGGCGGACGTTGTGTCCCCAACAAGCCTGTTCAGCAGCAAACAAAACCTTGTGCATGGAGTGCAGCCACTGCTAGACCGTGGCTCGCACCTTTCTGCAGATCTTCTCGAGCTGGCGCTCCATGCCGCGGCACCCCGCTTCGAAGGTGTACTTGGTGGCAATCGCCTCCAGCACGGCGTCCGTGATCTCAACCTGCACCGCTAGGCAGATCCTTGTCAACACAACAAGGACTTACGGAGGCAGAATCTGTTGACAGAGCTGTTCAGAACAGCCGTCCTAGCCTCGCAAATAGTCGAGAGTTGAACCCTCAGCGATGAAAACGATTGATTGAACCGCAAGCTTGCTCTGACAAGCTCAACTTTTGGAAACTGAAACAGGTCTAGGAATGTCGTTCTTCTGCGGGCTTTCTCAGCCACACCAGCACTCCGCCAAGTCACGTCTGACTCAACAACCTTTTTGGCGGAAGGAAGTGGGCAGCTTTACCTGGTCCGGCGCCAGGCCGACCTTGTCCTTGATCTTGGGCAGCAGGAAGCGCTTGGCGATGTGCACCTTCTCCGCGGTCGAGTACCCCGACAGCTCGATTGTCTCCATGCGGTCCAGCAGCGGCCGAGCGATCTGGCTGATGTCATTCGCGGTGCACACAAACAGCACCTGCGCACCAGCAGGTGGGCCGCTCAGACTTGAGCGGACGGCAGGACAAACCTACATCCGACTTCACTCGAAATGAGCACGAGAACCCTGTGAGCTTCGAAGGCCGCAATGGTTTTGGAAGGGCCTGCCACCATGGCCTGCCACCAGAAGAACCAAGTTCGATACACGTAGCAAAGTCTTCCCTGTGTTCTGACAAGTTCCTTGAATCTCCTTCTGTGGGCTTATTACAGCTTATTATCCATCAACTCGACAGATTCTTTCTGCACGTCTAAACGGCATACGCGCAATGCACCCACGAGATCAGAGCTACGCCTGTGCGTGCCCGTCTGCCCGTCTGCCCGATGCTTGTGCGCGCTCACCTGCGAGAGGTTGAGGCCGACCTCCATGTAGTGGTCCTTGAAGTCCTTGTTCTGCTCGGGGTCCAGGATCTCGAGCAGCGCCGCACCGGGGTCGCCGCGGTAGTTGGCGTGCGCCATCTTGTCCACCTCGTCGATGAGCACCAGCGGGTTCATGACGCCCACCTGCTTCAGCGCGCCCACCACCTTGCCCGGCTCGCTGCCCACGTACGTGCGGTTGTGCCCCTTGAACTCAACCGGGTCGTTCAGCCCGCCCACGCTGCGCGGCGCAAAGAGAGGCAAGATGAGACAACGCTACCGGAGAACAGAGTACTTCGCCCACGGTTCTACACCGCCATGTCAGTTTTAGTAAGGCAAAATCCTTCGACACTGACATATGAATGCTGACGAGTCGAGACTATCAACGAGACACTTCGACCTCCTTGCAAGCTCTGGAAAGGGCAGGTGGCTTCTCCAGCCGTTCATCAGGTTCGCAAAAGAAAGAGCAGCGCAAGACACATCTTGTGCCTGCCTTCCTCTGATCCAATTCAATTTTTCAGACTTATCCGGGGAGGGCCGAAACAGCAAGGAGCGTGCTGACCTCATGCGGTGGAACTTGCGGTTGAGTGCGCGCGCCATGCTCTTGGCGATGCTGGTCTTGCCCACCCCGGGGGGCCCGTGCAGCAGCAGGATGCGCCCCTGCGTCGTGCCCTTCAGCTGGCTCACAGCAATGAACTCCAGCAGCCGCTCCTGCCAGAAGAGGAGGCGCACGCGCCTTCAGATCTAGCGCTCACCGTGCGAATGCTCTGTTATTTGAAACTGGTCGTCGAACCTGAAGCAGAATTAGAAGCCGAGCGAAGAGAAGCGAACGCGCATGGCAGCAGGCCCCAGGGTGCACAAAACGGCAAGGTGCTGAAAGTGAAAAAGGGACAATGGAAAGTAAGAGCCACAACGGGGGAGGCAACCGAGGTAGCCGCACTGTGCAGCACGACACACAGTCCAGACACAACCAGGACAGGGCACCCAGGACAGACACCGGTCAGAAAAGCAAAGCTGCTCGAATCCTCGCATCCTCCTGATTAAAGATCAGACTCCAACTTTTTGGGGCCACGGGTTGTTTGCTGCTGCCCCTCACCTTGACTTCCTCGAGGCCGTAGTGGTCTTCCTCCAGGATGTTGCGCGCCTCCGCCACGTCATAGCGCTCGCGCGTGGTCTCCCCCCACGGCATGAGCGTCATCCAGTCCAGGTAGCGCACCACAAACGCATGCTCCGTGCTCATGGAGTGCATGCGCGCAAGCCGCTCAACCTCGCGCTCAACCGCCTGGACAACAAGGACCGGGAAGTCAGATATCGGTCAGAAGGGCAGGAAATCCCCTGCCTGCTTTCCAGGGCATTGAGCTCAGACGCCTGCCTGGGGCAGCCGGCCAAGTGGATAGGACCTTCGTGGACCGTTCTAGGTGACACCAGCATTGAACTTCACAGATCCATCTAGTGTTTTCCACCGTTTCGCCAGCTGCGGACCTGACGACACCACCGTAAGAGTTACCCCTTCAAAAGACATTTGCACTGGTAGCTGACCGCCATTATGTGCCACAATGCTTTGATCATCGGTCGAGAGTGAAACGCGGGGTTCGCTCTACAACCCCAAACAAATCATGCAATCTCCGTTGGCAGGGCTTGAAAAAGTAGTAGCAGGATGCACGAAAGGATCTTCGGAAAAAGGGGCCCTAGACACTCACGTCAAGCCATTCTGCGGGCATCTTCCACCACTTGGTGCGAAGCCGATTCCAGTACTTGTCTGCAGCTCGCACGTCTTTGCCCATCTTGCCGAAGCGCTCTGTACGACACACGAGCATTCAAACGAGGGACAGAAGGTTACAATAGAGAGATCGAAACAATGAAGGCTGAATGAGGAGCAAAAGCCATTCTATCAGGAATGCATCCCCACCGCGGACAATGGATCTCCAGTTGGGCCCAGTGGGCTTTGTGTGAGTTGAGCAGTTACCAAAGACTCTCAACCCGCTTTTGCATGCCAATCACTCTCCAAAAGGTATTGTCACATCTTGATCTTGAACATGTGTCCCCATAAGCGGCGATTCGTTCCTATTGCCAAAAGCCCGCAAGCCCTGGTCAAAAAAGGCGTGCCTCACCCTGCGTCCAGCCATCTGGAAGCTGCGTCACTGAAATGGGCCGCGTCTTTGAGTCCACCTCATCCTCCCGCACTTCCTCTGGCATCAGAACAAGGGAAAAACGTTACATGAAGTAAGCCCACAGGCTTTAACAATGGCTCCTCTGAAGGGCTTGCTCGACATTCACAGGATCTCGTCTCCAGACAGCCATGTGAAAAGGATTGCACCGTCCCTCAGATAAGGAGGGACGAAGTAGTAAGTACGGGCCACCCTTGATTGACCTATGGAACAGCCATTGTGGTGTTTCTTGCCAGTCACATCATAGCTTGATGGTTCGTGCCCCACAGCCAACCTTTTTGTCTTCATCATTCGCACTTGATGCTGCTGCACCTCCTGTGGCCCCTGTCCCCATCTTACAGTGTTTTGCGACCTCCTTGCAAATAGATCCCCATGTTGTCGAAGTTACTATGCCACACTCTGTTTAGGAGCTCGACACGTCACGCTTTCCCCAGGACTTGGGGGCAAACTCACCGCGATCGGAGGGGGCCCTGACGACCGTCTTCCTGATGACCACCTTGGGCATGCCGCCGGCCTGCGTGGCTGCGGGCCCCTGTATGCCGGCCGACAGCGGCTTGAGCACGCCCGCGCGCTCCAGCACCATCAGCGACACCGCCACCGAGATGATCGCAGAGCCCCCCAGCAGGAGCACCGACGACGCGCCCTTGGTCAGGACAGTCGCCAGGTACATGAACACGGACTGCCGCGGCGGGGCCTGCGTGCGGTTCAATAGCTCCAGCGTGTCCTCGCTCAGCTGCACCACCACCGGGACAGGCCCACCAGCACCAGCCGGGATAACAATCTGCGACGGCAGCCGCCGCTCATCGAGGCCTCCTGTTGGAATGCTGGCAACATCCCCGCTGTCGCCCCTCGCCTTTGCCCCATCTTCACCAGAGACTTTGACAGGACCATTGGCGGGCTGCGCCTCTTCACCAACTTCTTCGTCCTCCGGCGTAAAGCCCGCCGGGAGCCAGGCCCTGAGATCGCCATCGAAGAGGGCGGGCAAGAAGGACGATGGCTCGTCAGTGAAGTGCGGATACGGCTCAGACCGACCGGCAGTGGCTACAGCACTGCGTCTGGCTGATCGACGGACGGGAAATGTCCTGTTGTTGCCTGTCTTTGATCGCTCTCCAAACAGACTCAAACCAGACAAGCTGCTGTTGCACTGCTGAAAAAGCACTACTTTGCTTCCAAAAAATGGTGGCTGACTGCGGCTTGCTCTGTAACTGAACCCTGGAAGGGGAGCCGGGGGGAGCCCAGAGCGCACACCACTTGGGGCCCTGCAATTTCCAGACGGCGCCCCAATTGGGCAGCAGGTAATGGTCCCCCGAGCCAAAAACTTGGCAGCGGCCGCCATACCAAACTTTTCAATGCTGCTCAGAAGCTACCGTCAGTGGACGCTTCTGACCATCGCGCCCAAACCGGTTGACTACTTTTCAAAGAAAGAGGTTCATCAGCCCTTTAAAATTGACAATGCTGATATCAAAGCTCCTTTGGGTGGAAAGGGCTCCTTTTCTCTCCTCAGAAGCGGTCGCGTCAGAGCTTTGTGAGGAGGAATTGCTTTCACTGTCAAAGTTTCAGCTGAGCCTTCAGGCTTCCGACACAGGAAATAGCTGCTTCAATTGTTCAGACGATCTGATTATACCAGCAATCTTGGACCGTCGGATGCCGGAAGCCCATGATCGACGGCCGCAGCGGCGGCACCGGGGCCGCCCCAGATCATATTAGGGCGGCCGCGCGCCGCCGCCCCGCGGCAAGCCGCTCTGCCGCGGGCCGGGCGCGCAGACAATGACTCATATGGCAGTCCAGCTAGCTTACTGTAGTACGTACCTATATTTCCGATGAGTCCGCGGCGTCTCCTAGCTGCATATGATCGTACTAAGCCCAGCTGCTCAAGTTATCATGAATCTTAAGCTTTGACTTCAAGTAATCGAGATCGGCTGCAGGACCCGTGGGGTCATGATGATCGATTCCGGCAATATTATAAGTGAAACTTGAAAGTTACTTGCAGAGTAAGCTTTGCAATTGCGATAGGATGTCCTATCGGATATTAGTCCGGGGTCGACGCCCGCCGCATACTAAGGCATGCATGCTGTGTATCATTTTGGCATTCGACACTGGTCGATATAGGCTGGCGCAATACGTGTAAATCATTGATTGCGTGTAACTTGCATGACTCAGCATTGGGCAACATGCTAGTGGTTCAAAACGCGGTTTAGTATTCTGGACTCTCCGCTATTATCAAATTTGATCGATTTCAAACTTACTAGTTCACATCCACATAAGGATCGAAGCGATGATGTGATACGCAGCCAAAACGAGTCTCAAGCGAGCGAACACTGACAAGGCTAGCTCGGCAATGGATGATGACAACTGTCTAGAACTTTACACGGCGCCAGAGGCAAACCTGGTCGAGGGGGAGAACCAATCGAGCTGATCAAGAGCCGATCTTCAACGACGGCGACCATCATGGCATTTCTGCCAAGCCGGCCAAGTACCATATGTGTGTGCATCCCAGATCGCATGTAACGATTTCCAAATAGACCCACCACTTACGTCGCACTTATGTACATATTGAACCGTCAAGCAAACTTTCCAAACGTCCGCTGTCCATACAGCACTGCCGCTCGTGCCTCTAGCTTCGCCAAGTCCTCACGCAGCAGCGATGCCCGCTGGCCGTCGCTTTGCCCTGACCCCTGGACTAACTTTTGCAACAACCGGAGCAGCTTATCCACTACCACCCGACAGTCCACGAGGAGAGACTCGAGCTCGCTGACTGCGAACAGCCGCAAAAGAGAGGCCAAAACCCTTCTCCCCCTGTTGACGGCGCTCACCTCTTGATCAAGACCGCTCACTTGCGCCACACCGGACCCATCCAGATTAAACATCAGCTGTTCTAGCACGGGTGCTAGCAACCACGACTGCCTTCGCAGCAGAAACACACACGGCCGCAACATCGGAGCCAACCACCCGGTGCCTCGAGATGTCGCTGACGTCACCTCTAGCCAGTACCTGGCCACAGCCGACGGCAGCAAGGCCGCCAGTTCGGCCGGCATGCCGGTCGCTTCCGGCTCCGCTGTTACCCTTTCCTCACTGCACGTGCTCACGGCTCGCAGGACGGCATACACTGCCCAGACGTCCATTCCCCTACTTTCAGATTCTTGTTCACCGCTCGCGCTTAATAACAGCTTCGCCAGCAGAGGGCCGACCAGGCTCAGGACCACTGCGCCACCCCCCGCCCGCGCCAACCCCGCACAGATGCCGTCCAAAAGCGCTTCGGACTCTTTCCCTCCAGGAGCTTCTCTGCTGCCGGACGTTGTCGCTGCGCCCTCCCTGGACTCCGCTTCCTTTCCGGGGGCTCGACCGGAATCTGAAGCAGCGGGCGCTCCACCTGGGTGCGCCAGGGCCGACCACTTGGCCAGCAGCGTGACGAGGAAGCTCAGGTACGTGGCGACGGTCAGCGTGTCAGCCGCGGCCGCGCAGTGATGCAGAACCTGCCGCAAGGGGAACGCGGCCGTCAGGCGCGCGATGCAGCCACTTGTTGGCTCAGGAAACGAGTTGGAGCACTCGCTTATTCATACCGAGCCCGCTTATACCCGTCGACTTGTCAAGACTGTGTGGGTCACGAAACCTTGGGTCACAGAACCCGATTCACATGCCCGTGGCTGCATGAAGACCGGAGCTTCACCGTCCAGCCTATTCGCTGAGCTCGAAAGGTGAAGATCGAGCGGGCTAGACGCTCGGGATGAACCTTCGCAAGCGAGGCTTTTGCGCAATCCCGTCAAGGTTTGGCACTTCTAAAAGCAACGACGGGACGAAAACCACCTCCTGTGAACTCGCGAGTATGTAAACCCGGCTCTTGCCCATGTAAAGCCACTTCGTCGTTGCGCATGTCCAAAATCAGCCTTAAACGTCAAACAATGAGAGAACTTCGTCGATCATTCTCGCCAAGTATTCCTGCTCTAGGACCAGATGTCTCGGCTGACGAACACCTCACCTGCAACAACCGCAGAACCACTTGCACGCCCACCCCGGGGGCGCCGCAGCAGTGCGCCAGCGCGCTGATGAGCGCAGGCGCGAGCGCCCCTAGATGCGGCAACAAGTCAACCGCCAGCGCCTGCGTCTTTTCCGGAAGGCTCACAAACGGCCCAAACTTGCGCGTTTCCCCGCTGCCTTGCTTTTTCGGGGGGACGGTCAAGCAGACGAAGGGTAGCAACGACGGCTGGAGAGCGGCGATGGTGGACGCGAGAGGGCCCTCGGGAGAAGCCGCCCGGGCAGAGCGCAGCAGGAGGAGTAACACTTGGTGGGAGGCCGGGGGGGAGGCGGAGCGCAGCTCCCACAGGAGGCGGGGGAGGGAGGAGAGCCACTGCTGAACGCCGGCAGGGGGGACCAGCGAGAACGTGGACTCGTCCTGCAAACGGACGGAGAAGCGAGGATGATAAATTGAGATAAAACCCACCAGAGAAGAAGCAAGTGGCGACGAAAGGCGATTCTTCACCGGCGTGAAGGGCGACAGACGAACGCGGGGAGTCAGATTGGGCGTTTGTGAGTGAAGGCCGACTCGGCTCAACAAGGAACGAGGTGGACAAGGAACGAGGCCCGGTGGCAGAAAACTCGAGGCACGTCCTCATCATGTGCTTCTCAACCAACCTAAGGGCAAAAGTTTTGTTCGTCAGGGCGCACAATCAAGGCTGCTACACACCTCCGAGTGCAATTCCAACCTCGAAACAGGGGTTTGAGACTTTAGAGATCACCTGCAGGAGGCCCCCCATGAAGTGGAGCGCCGCCGCCTTGCTCCGCGACTGCGGCCCGCACCCGAGATAGAACCGGGTGAATGCGGCCAGCAGCCCACTCCGCTCCTCTTCCCCGACCACCCTCAGCAGCTGCCCCAGGCTCGCCAGCACCACCCCGGTCTGCGCCTCGGTTAACGCCCGCTTCTCTAACCCGTGCGCTAACCCCTTGCCGCTGCCGGGCAGAACCCGCCCCTCGAGGACTCCCTGCAGGTACTCCACGAGCGCTCCTTCCCAGGGGGGTGCGCCCACCCCCCCGAAAAAGGGCAGCATCAGCTGGCACACCGCCAGATTCAAGTCTACCAGGTCTTCGATGTCGTGCGCGCTGACTCGGACCCCCGGGGCGGCGACCGGGAACTGCGCCGCCACCTTGTGGGTCAGCTGGGGGAGGTACTCTTGAGCGATTGACTGCCCGCTTATGGACTCGTGATCCAATAAGAGATGGAGGACGCGGGCGATGCGGACGAGGCTCTGTGCAGTGGGGGGGTCCGGCTTAACGGCGAGCGCGGCGGGGGTGCACTCGCTCCAGCAGTCGAGCAGGCGAGGGACCAGCCGTGCAGCCAGGGGGGGAACGGCACCGCGCGCATCACCAGGGCTATCTGCACCGCGCAGAGCAGAAAGAAGATAAGATGCTGAAAGCTTCCCGGAGCTGCGTACGTTGCTTATCTGTTGACTTCTTCTCTTCGCTCCTATGCATTAGCCTGGCTTTCCGTATCTGTCCAGAGCTGATCAGAGACAGCAACGTTCGAGCAACGTCCGCTGATTGATGCAGTGGCGGTGGAGTGAGGCTTTGCCAAGCAGTCCTGGAGTGCATAGCGCCCTTTCGTTGGCCTTTAACGACCGTTGAAGGTCCACAACGGGCTTGTTGAAGCCCACACAGTCGAGCATAACGGATAATATTACATTCCTTACACAACGCCAGTCTTCTTACCTGCTGCACCTTCTCCATCCCTCGGCCACCTGCCCCCGTCCTTTGGGCCCACAGCGCTCCTGTTTCCGTGCAGGCTGGACGCCCTCGTCCGACCCCACTGCCACATGTCATCCTTTGTCTGGCTGGCCTTCTCCTGCGATGCAGCTGCGGGCTGCGAGGCTTGCAGGAAGCTGTGCAGGCTGGACAGGACTTTGAGCAGGGAGGCGGGGGTGCGCCCAAACGGCCCCGTGATGGACAGCAGCGTCACGTAGTGGTCCTCAATCTGCACCACCAGGCACAAGCGTCAAGCTCTGTTTTGACTGCAATGGCAAGGTCGTAATATGGCTCACTCATTCTTTGAAAGCTGGAAACGTCCTGGTGTTCAACGCACCACCTTTTTACCGAGGAGTACGAAAGCCTCGACCCAATGAGAAGGTTTTGATCATGATTGCATGCACACTCCTAACAGTGCTTGTCATTGAACAAGCGAGACCCTTCCATACATCAGGGACGCCTTGGAAAGACTGACTGCATCAAACCAGCGACCAGACTACAATGCGCAAGTCAGACTAACAATCTGAACCCGTTTTCGAAGGTCTAAAATTCTAATCATTGAGCGGACACAAAATTCAATGCACAATTAAGAAGGCGTCTACGAAGCTCTAGCAAACACGCCAGCTCATTCAAAAGCAAACTTCCTCGATGCAGAGAACTAACACCACATAAGGCCACACAGCGCCCAGCTTAGAGGCTCACCTGTGCGTGCAGAGGGGAGGCCCGCAGGAGGGCGGGGTACCGGGCTATGAGCAGGTCCAGGAACGCCACAGAGGACAGCCGCACCTCCGCTGTCATGTGGGTCAGCCCATTGCAGACATGCACCGCAAGGACAGGGAAGAAGGGAGCGACAACAGCCTGCCCAGAAAGCGGAGAAGGGGGCTTTAGTCTCTTGAAAGAACTACTGTCACTGTACTGGATCGCTGAAAGTCATTGCTTGCTCCTTGCCACCGAAGAAGCAGGTCAGGTGTCATATCCACATGCTTGGCATCTGAATGCATCTTTCCCCCAGGAGCAGTGACGCACAGTGTTTGATTGCAACATTTCCGTCCTACGTTCAGAAGTCTTTCGAAGCCGGTTACGAGTGCCGCACCTCTGGCAGAGCGGGCAGCACTGTCTTGGACAGCAGCCCAAGGAGAGCTTCTCGGACGGCGCGGTCGCCGTCCGCAATGCGCGGGGCGATCTTCTCAATGATGGCAGCTGTGTGGAGGGGCAGCAGCGCAGGGTGGGCTTGGAGCAGCTCCTGGAGGCCACCCAGGGAGTCTGCAAATACAAATTACCCGCTGAACCTCTAGAAACAGAGGGGATTAGGTGCACAACGGTGGGCTCTTGATCAGAGACAGGCAGTCTATTCCGGAAAGAGAGCGGCCACCTGAAAAGCGGCTCCCTGAAGTCCATACAACTCAGCGGGGTGCTGTAAAACTGCACGTAATACCTGCAGTAAACCAATCAGAGACTCTAGGACTGGCTAAGAATGCTGACTGGTGAACTGATGATGGGTCCTGAATGTCCAGTAGATTTTTACAATCGGTCGGGCCTCCCTCACTTGAACTTCGTTTGGTTGCAATCTCCGGCTACAGATCCAGTCACTGCTGTGTCAAGAACACATCGGTGCTCCATCAGTTCAGACGTCAAAGCGCACCTTTTCTGGAGTGGGCATTGTAGTGCGACGCCTGCCCCAGCAGCTCCTGCAGGCTCAGGTTGCGGGAGGTCACTGCCGTGCCCTTGCTGGCCGTCACACTCTGGTCCGGCAAGTGGAGCGCTGCAATGGAGAAGACATTTACGTCCGATTATCCAGTCCACCAATGGTCTTTAGCACACCACCACCACCACCATCATCACTGCCAATCATTCCTCGTGTAAGAGATGAGTATATCGTCATATCTCTCCTGTATGAGCAATGTGGGCTTTGAATTGAATGTCACAAGGTGGTGCAACGTGATGGTGATGCACCGCTCAAAACCATGTGATAATGGTGGTGACAAGCGCCCACGGATACTTTGCTCACCTTTGGCCTTAAAGTCGGTCCTGGTGAAGTTGTCTGCCCTGGGCAGCTTCTTGCCCACTTTTGACTTCACTCGCTGCACAACATTTCCATCAATTCAGCCAACGAGACAAGTCAATGCGGTAAGCAAAAGCTGCTCATGCTGAGATGAACTTTTGGGCGGGTAAGAACTGTTTGCGTCAGGTTAGCAGCTTACCTTGAAGTCAATGCCAGGCCCTTTCTTCTTCTTCAGGCGCGTGGCCTTTTGATTGCCCATGTTGATGGCCCTCACTCAAAGGTGCTCCTGCCAGAACCTAGCCACAGCCTGCCACAGCCTGGTGAGACGAGCTCGGACGCCCACACTGCACAGCAAACGCAATTTGTGTTTCTGAACGAGCTTTCGTGAAAACACTTCGGATCGACATCGTGCAACTTGAAGAAGCAGAAAGAATTGTGATCTCGTGTACAAAGAGAACACGTAAAACCCTAAATTCTTAGGGTTACATAGGGTTGTCAAGACTTCCGCGAGGCTTCTGCATCCTTTTCGAGCTTGCAATGAAATACAGCACAACGGCTCCAGGAAGCAATTGCAAAGCCAATTATGATTCTGCAAGGTCGCTCAAGATAAGGCCCAGGGCATTATTACAAGACTTTCCCGGGGTTCAACAAGGTCTTTGCTGAGGCAAAGTTCGGCAGGTTCCCGGTTCTGAACTTTTCAGTAAGTCCATCCTTTCGCAATGAGTGATTGGACCATTGCAAAGAGAGCCATACTTGAAGTTGTTTGCATCTTGACAAAGTCTGGGAGTCTCTTCTTGAACACCTGCATTCGGTATGCCCGCATACATCTTTCGCGGCATTATTATTGTCGTTTGCTCACGGCGCTAATGATCTGTACTAGTTAGAAAGATTGCAGGCTCTGAAACGGAGTGACCAGCTAAGTTCCACAATTTGATAAGTAGCTTCCTCATCCCGACAGTGGCAACATCGTTCAATCAATCCAGTCTGCTCGCAGGTCACAGTCACCGGCATTGACACAAAAATCAAGGAGCTTTCCTATTGCGTTCCATCATGTTTTCCTGGCTGCCCTGGAGCTCAAAGGTCGCCGACGATGTACCGGACAGCCAGCGGCACTCTGCTTTTCTGAAGCGCTTTGAGGACATTCGGGACAAGAGCAATTGGGCGCAGGTAGATCAAGCAGCCCCCATCCTGAGCTATCTTTTTCTTCAGAGCAAAGCCTCCCAAGCTCCAGGATTTGCAAGGCCTAAACTGTCATGGTCGCCTCAATATCACCTGAGCTTGTGATTTATTTAGGACTTTGAGGCAAAACCCAACGGGAATTGACAATCTTTGGGTGAACCACTCTAAAGCACCACCTTAAGTCAAATTAAGCTTGCTTCTGTTCAGCTCACCCATGAGCCTTCGGTTTGGAGATGTCAGCTGAGACGTTCTTAAGACGACACTATCGGCAGGTTGCTTCACAAAATCTAATTCTTGTCGGCCGTGCGTGCCAGGTTCCAGAAATCTCAGGAGCAGAGCTGAAAGACTTGCCCAGGGACTCCTACATCCTGGTAGATGTCCGATCGGAGGCAGAGCGCAACGTGAGTATGGGATATACGCCGCCGCCCGAGGCACTGTCCTCCGGCTGCAGCCCGTACAGGCATTCTGAGCAACTCAGTTCTGACAGGTTTCCTGATGGAGACTGGAACAATAGTCATGCTTCTTCAAGCGAGTTTCGAGAAGTCTCTGTGCCAGGGTGAAAGGGCATGTAGCTTCAATCAATAGCATATCAGGACAGCAAATCTGACTACCGATGTATCTCCCATCTTTTATTGTCTCTTTCCGACTTTGATCCCCACTCTGACCTGGCTTACAGCGACAAGGGTCTAACGTATCTCATTACTTCATCATGTGCTGTTCCACCTTATTATTCTTTGTCAGGAGGCCTTCCAATGAGTGCACACTTACTTTCACTGTGCAGGTGTCCATGATCCCGGGCAGTATCACAAAAGAAGAGTTTGAGAAACGGTTTGACGAGCTCAAGGACCAGGACATCGTGGTTTACTGGTGAGTAAAGACAGAGTCTTCAGGCAAAGGGGTTTCGTCTTACTTTTTTTCTCCATTCCTTTCCAACCCACTTTGCCCAATTCTGTCCAGAAAAATTGAACTCCTGGCAACGTGTCTCTGTTTCATTCTTGGATAGTTCTTGCCGAGCAATCCCGACTTCAAGCCAGAACCACAGAAGTCAACCTACTTGCTTCAATAGTTCAAGTCTGGCTGAGTGAACAACCACTATTTTCTGGAGTGAGTCAACTCGTCTATGTTGCTTGCCGGATTTGATACGTACTTCCAATTGCAGCTGACCCAAAACGAAGCCGTGAGCAAGAGTGGGGAGTACACTCGATTCACTCAACGTGGGGAAATCAGCATCGTGTAAAACCACAACCTCATCTGGAACTCTTTGGCCTGTTTCTTGTTTTATCTGGATATCGTTCTTGATTTTTAGCAAAGCTCGAATGGTTGTTCTTGTTATGCAGTGCAATCGGCGGTCGCTCGGGGACGTACTGCAAGCAGCTGCTGGCGACGCATCCGGGCCTCAAGGTGCGCAACTACGCGGGAAGCATCATTGACTGGCTCCACGTGCCAGGCGCTCTCGTGGACCACGAAGGGAAGTCGACCAACAAGATCCATCCCGGGGGCAGCACGTGGAAGCAGTACGTGCCAGCAGCCGGGAATTACATCATTGTGACGTGAAGAGCGGACTTATGGGAAGGCTGGACATAGTATAGAGGGGGCTGGGGAGCAGGTGCCTAGCAAATGGCACGTGTCGAGCGCTCGGTGCTTTTGATCGCGTTGTTGACAAGCTTCGTAGATAATCTGATAAATTGCAGCGATATGGATGCGGTCTGGTGGTCATATTCAACTTTCTTGTATACAAGAGCAGTCCAGACGCTTTGGTTGTACATACATATACTCGTTGACGAGACATTAGGGTTTCGATAGCACATTCATGCCGCCAAGCTGCAGGGCTGATAAATGGGATTTAGAAGTTGATAGCAGGGACTACAATTCAAGAAACCATACGAGGTAAAGTGCCCGGAATTAGATAGATAGCCTGTAGATTGTTTTAAGATCGAATGCATCTTCTACCGTTCCTTATGTGATCAAGATAGAGACCAGGCTGGCAAGCTTTTGAAAAGGAATATCGACTCAACTAGCTATGAAAAAGACATAAACGTGGCTTGTTAGTAGCGCACTTGGATCTGATCTTGTGCTCATGATCGATGGATGTTAGACATACGTTTGATATACTGATTCGCGAATAATCGATTGTGTACACTTCATGGCTACGCTCATGCACTGAACTTAATTGCAGCCGCCCGTCACATACATGTACAAATTCAAGGCACGCGTGCAATGATGTCACTATACGCTTCACATACGTGCATGACGTGAAGTCTTGCATGCTGAGGTGACCAATCAATTCGAATATGCTAGCTATATTTGCGCGCCGGCAAGCATCAACCATCTAGGCTTAGCCTGTAAAGTTACTTAATCTGATCTGTTCTGATTTCGAAAGCCGTGCAGCCAAATGGGCCATAGGCTTCCATATATGCACCTGCATACATTGTAATCATGTAAGTTCGACTTTTGAACGCCTAGCTACCCTACCGAATCTTGGTGTGCTACATAATCCAAACCTAGTATGTCAGCTTCTGCAGTTGTTGGTATATCAAGCTGTAGATTGCAGTCGATTTGAGGGTTTATCGATCAATGATACAGCAGGCTATGCCAGCCCGTTGATGATTACTGTATCAAAAGCAACCACATGTGACAACTTCCCTTAGTCCTTGTGAATTGTACTTGTTCGATCAAGTTTCAAACGAGTAAGGACGGACGGCTACTTGCTCCGGCACCAGCCGCCTGATCGACTCTCTTATCCTGCTTCCATTAGGGTTCATTTGCGGGCTCCTTTTGACGACCTTTTGGTACAGAACTTTACATATGTTACACGCAGGAAGCTTGACCTTTCCGACTGAAAGCAGTTGCAGCATACGATCGCAATCATTGCGGCATCTTGAGGGCATCGTAGCCAGGCAAGCTTTCCTCCCCGGGGACGTGCTCCAGATCCAGCACCCCTGCCGGTGCCATGAAGGGCACAATCCTGAAGAGGAGCTCGGGCGGCAGCCCTGCAAGGCTCACGCCCAGCGGGTTGCTCTCCTTGCGCATCCGCTTGGCTGCCAGCCTCGCTGACCGGCGGAGCGAGGGCGCACCCTGCAAAAGGCCAGTTGGCTTTGAAAGATGGACATAGCAGATTGTGCTCAGCATTCATCACCATTCCGTTCAGAAGACCGTTCAGTAGACAATGTCAACGCTTGAGTGGCTGCAGGAACTCACTCGAAAGCAAAGCAATTTTGCCTTCAGCTGTCGAATGAAGGGGAGTTTGAGCAGTTGAGAAGGTCTTGCAGTCCACAGTAGAGACCCCTGATGATGTGGGCCTCTGCCTTCAGACAGGCTTGCATATCTGCCACCGATTGTCACAAGACTAGACTGTTGCAAACGATATAGCTGATACTGGCGGCCAATGTTTGGGAGGTCATGTTGACTATCGCAGCATCATCAAATGCCACTCACCTGTGGTTGTGGTTGCTGGCTCCACGCACGGTTGTGAGCAAGTAGGAGTGTCCGAACCGTGCTCTTGAACGAGGAGGGGTACCGACTGTGTGTTCCTTGCGACCAGGGCAGACTGGCCGGTTCTTGGATGTCGACCTTCTGGGGAGCCGAACCTGTGGGAATGTGGACCTGGCAAAAGGCGATAGAGCCACAGGGTGAGGTGACAACTAGAGAAGGCTCCCAAATCTTCTGATAAAAGCGTGTCAGATACTGGCAGACGTTGACAGAAAGTAAACTTTTCTTTCAAGGCAGCTTCATGGCCAGATTGATACTGAGGGATTAGACCCTGCAAGCGATGTGGTCCTCCGAGACAGGAGCACAATTAAATAGAAAACCAATCCAATGTTGATGACACGACACGCAAGGCAAGCACAGGCGTGCATGGTGTCTCCAATGACAATAAGTCAGTGAAAGCTGCGACCAAAATTAAGGGCATTGGGAGCGAATGCAAGGCTCACCAGTCGCTTGTCAATTGCGAGCAGCTCTCCTGTGGTGAACTTGCATGCTATCCAGGGATGTGACTCAAATGTGTGCTGCCAGTAGGACTTGCTTTGAGGCTTCAGATTGTGATATAAGATCTGCAGAAGGTGGCGACCAGCTAAGTCACAATATTTTCTTACTTTCTCAGATGATGCCGCTGAAGGAGGTCACATGAGCTGGTTAGCCTTTTTGAAGTTATGCAACTTCATGAGCATGATTTTGTTCATGAAGAATCATTTGAGCACAATGCAAAATATGTCCAAATCAAAGCAATGAACGAAATGAGCACGATTGATTGTCAGACTTCGGACGCTCACTTGGCTGCAGCTATAATTATATGGTGCTTAACAAAAAAGTATCATCCAGTCTGCAGGAATTTGACGTAATCTGCTCACCTTCTCTCCCCCGTAGTTTAGCCAGAAAATGCTCACGTAGTCCTTTGTCATGTTTGTGAATCTCACCCATGCAGTGACCTTTGAACGCAAGGATTTGATCGTCAGAATGGCCTCAGCATCACTGCTTGAGGCAGCCATTGGAGTTCCGCCCTGCATTGTGCTGTCTTGATGCTCACCCTCCATTTTTGACTGTGCTCGTCAGAGAGGTGAAGTGGAGGGCCGGACTGACCGTAAGCAGCTATTGCAAAGTCTTGACAGGGCACATTCACGAGCGACGTTTGCTTGCGAGCTGCAGTCAGCAGCCGTGTAAATGTAGCATGTGCTGTAAGGCCTTGGAGCAGGTCTGCATAGGAGCGCCAGGCAGCGGCAACATTCTAGGACTCGTCGATCAGGTACATGTTTCTGAGATTTCGAGACAGCCAGAAAAGGCAGACTCCCCTGAGGCTGCAGTGTGACGTGATTGGAATGACAGGCAGCCCTGTGAGGACCAGTATCCGTTTGCGCAAACTGTGCTCCAGCTAAATATCAAAAAGCAGCTCCTGACACCTGCTACTATTGCAAGCTGACCAGGAGTGGCGCCCTTGCTGCGCGGCCCCTTTTCGCGTCCCTTTTCAATCCATGTGGAACGCTCTGCGATTTGATGTCATTGTAAGCTAGCTCTGCTCTGCCACTTGCTTTGAAGGTCATGAAGTTGTGCCACCCAGCGCCTTCCAGGGATCCCCCTTGCCAAGATTTTAGTGGACGACTATCACTAGACGAGAGTGAACAACTTAGAGCATCTTTTAGCCGTCGATGTAAATGGATATCACTTTGGGCGGCTTAAAATGGAACGTATTGGAAGCGCTTCTGAAAAAATGTTGCGTATAAGTTACGACATGCCGTATTTGCGGAGTGCCCAGCCTGGGGCCCACCTGTACATGTCGCCACTACTGCGCCAGCTAGCGCTGCTGCAGCCTGCATATTGCCATTGGTCATTGCATGATCCAAAGCTAGCGAGAGCATTTCAAAAGCTTCAGCTTTCAGACATTGTGTGCAAGTTTTTTTGGGCGCGCCTCAAAAGTAAAGAGTTATTACATTGCAGCCTGCCAATTTTTACGCCTGCGTGTCCACCTTCGCCTGAAAGCACAAAATTGCAAAAAGATGGACTCCATCCAGAATGAGTTGGTGAAGCGGTTTGCCAAAAACAAGCTGCAGGAGTTAATGGGAGGGGGGCAGGCGTCCTCCAAGCATGATGCTCAGAGCATGGTGAGCAATGCTTGTACGAAGATGAACTGGCTTTATCATTCTTTGGATGACAAGACAAATGTCAGATTGCTGGGCTTATGATTCTTCACTTGCATGCATGGACTCCAGAGTTCTGTGTCAGCTTCAGTATGCATGACCAACGAGGAATCCACAGGCTAAGAATGAAGAGGTGACCCCATCGCTAGAGGGTTTTCATCCCACGTGCTATATAGCATTTGTAACGTTGTTGTAAAGCTCAATTGAAACAGGTTATCTGTAACAGGCCAGATGTTTAAACGATTGAGGGGCAGTACTCTATGAGCTGATTTGGTTGCTCAAGTAATCAGTTCGTTGCTAAGAAGCCTGTTGCATGTCCCAGGTGATTGACATGGTCAAGTCCCAGTTTGGGCTCGGACATGACGATGCCAAGAAAGTCACTCACGAGGTAAGACAGCAGCGTCCGCATGAAACATGCATGCAGACGTTCTGTGTTGCACTTCTCTCTTCATGCTGCAGTTGACAAACCATCTTGGGCAAAAAGGGCATTGCTAACCTGCAGTGTTTGTGAGGGGCTCTCAACTCTTCCTGGTGCACCTCACTTTGCATTCTGGATGACAGATACAACAGCAAACTGGTTCATGTCGCTGTTCAATGCTTTGAATTTGGACGCTTCGTGTTCTCAGATTACAACTTAGTCAATTCTTCTTGATTGCAGATGACAGGTCCAGCAGAGGAGGAGTCTGGAGGATTTGGCGGAATGATGGGAAAGGCAGCTAACTTCCTTGGGGGTGGGGATGAGAAGCATCAGATGCAAGGTGGGGCCGGCTATGGCAATCAGATGGGCGGGGAGTCCTATGGGCAGGGTGGCTTCGGAGGCGGCGGCTACGGAGGCGGCCAGCAGGGAGGGGACATGATGGGACAGGCGGAGCGGCTGGCAATGCAGGCACTTGGAGGGGGGCAGGGCGGCAACCAAGTAAGGGTCTCTTTCACTGATCTCCTGACCTTGGGTTCCGATGATTTTTAAAACGGTCTGGACAGCCAAAAGCCAGCTCAGGCAGATTCGTTCAAACTGCTGAGGTGGCTTGACGTCACCAACCGGTGCTTGCATCATGTATCTACTGTTGACCACATGTCAACATTTTGAATCTGGTCAGCGAGCCTAGACCAAGTCATAAGCCACTGTGTATTCTATTGAGGGAAATAGTTGATTCAAAGGGTGGCTGCCTTGAAAGTCCCGACCATCTGACGCAATGATCTCGTAGCTGATTACAGGTTGTGGGAATGCTCATGGACAAGTTCGGGTTGGACCATGGTAGTGCGCGGGAAGTCGTCAACAGACAGCAGGGGAACATGGACGGAGCTGCAGGGGGAGGGAGTGGGGCTATGGGCGGATTCGCGGAGAAAGCAGAGGGCTTCTTGGAGAGGATGACAGGACAGTAGGCATGCTGATGGTTTCTGGGACAGACTCGGAGGACACTTGCACGCAGTAGGTTAGAGTAGATGGACGTCGCTTAGAGTTCCTTTTGATTTTGAACACCACGCGGGTCGTGAATAAACTTACCACAGACCAGTGTCGAACGAGTCATTCGTTGAATGTGAGGGATCGTTTTATCACTAGCCTTAAGAGCCATGCATATGATCCTTGACTGATGCTTGATTTGGATGGCACCGACAGTCAAATCTTCAATGTGGAATTATCAGTACTGAGGCGGTTCTGGCCTAGAAAGCCTCGTACGTACATGCGGAATATATCCATGCCATGCCGATGGCGATGAAATACAATTAACTAAGTTCAATGAGCTCGGGCAGATCGTTAATTTAACAATTGAAGTACGTCTATAGAGCTTACATGGTAGCTTGATATGTTTCGAATCATTATGATTGTGTACCCCATGCAATGATGCACGATTCAGTGCATGCGTTGCAATCTGTGGGTTGAGTCCATTGAATCAAATGAGTCCGCCCATGCATGAGGGTGGCAGAGCTAGCTAGTCGGCCGCGGCCGGATGCAACCCACGTGTATGTACATATATACAACGCGGCCAGCGCTTAAGTATATATACTGGCCGGCGGGGCGGCCTGCCCGCGCCACTATATTTAGCGGCACCCGCGTGCAATTACCATTGACATATATCGAGTCCGATCCGGTGACAAGTACGTGCCAGTCTCCATTAATTAAGCCCATCACTGTAGAGTTGTGTACCAACATAGTGCATGAGTTCACTGAGGGCCACGAGCTAGGGACGAGTCATGTACAAATGAAGGGATATATTTATGAGGCCCCACAGTCGAGCGGTCCGCGCGGCCCGCAAGCTGAAATCTTGTCATGCATGCATGTACAATCACTGTTAATTCAATAATACCTAATTACATATGATAGGCAATTGTTGCATGCCATGGCCCTAGTTACTTGTCATCGAAATCAGTGCAAATGAGCATTGGGCCCGCAGCACTGACTGCCACGTGTAGGATTCAAGGATCGCAATCTTTATCGATATTATAAATGCCTCGACTTTGATGTAACCGCGAGCAATCCAGGCATGTAGGACGCTTATCAATCCATCTATGGAGGGTGCTCAAAACCTCACTCTCGACACTACAACACGTGCTACTAGGCTAGGCTGCTACCTGGTCTTCTTGACACTGAACCACTAGGTGGCCCTACACGGCGCACAGATCAGCTATCCAGATCGGACTTACCAACAACTCCCGGTCTACCATTTAAAAAGAACGTCTATGATTATTGCGACCTCCCACGGGCAGGTGGCGTGCATTCGTAAGGAGCAAATGGTGCTCGACGGAAACACAACAACTAAGTTATGTACAGACTGGGCGTATCGAGGCAGCTAAACAGACTGCAAGGCGAGAGCCCTTGTGCAAAGGGCGGCCTGGGAGCGCCCCCTTCCGAGGGCTGGCGTCAATGGACCTCAGTTCCACCTCTTGGCGTTCTTCTTCGCCTTGCCCTGCCCTGCGCTGATCTTCTGCGCCTTTTCCTTCTTGGCCGCCTCCTTTTGCTTTTTCTGCACCTCTCGCTCAGCCTGCAGTGGAAAAATGCATAACCTCGTCGGTTTTCCACAGAGTTTCTCAGAGACTTCTCACGCCTGATAACGAATCCTTACATTCTACGATGAAAGCGTCGAAATGACTCCGGAAAGGGCCTGGCAGAAATTTCATTCCCCAATCGTCAGCACACTTTGAAGAAAGTCGACCAATCACGGCAGGCCCGAGACGATCGACCCTGAACCAATCCGCTGCAACTTCCAACCGACGTATCTCGACAGGGGCATGCCGAGCAACCAGAATCCAGGTTCTAAGAAATGGCAAGTGACTCACCCGGGTCATCTTGGACTGCGACTTGATTTTCGGCGCTGCGGCCTCGAGCTCGGCCTCCCGCTCTAGTTCCTTGCGGCGCGCCTCCAGGTTCTGCTCCAGGTAGTAGTTGTAGTCGCCCACGTAGTCCGCCAGCTTGCGCCCCTTGATCTCCACCACCCGGTTCACGATCTGCCGCAAAAAGTACCTGGGAACAACTGCCACGTGTCAGCACTTCGACAGTTCATACGCATAAGGGACGACAAACGGGACACATTCTCTTTCTCGTTCCATGGACTCCTGCACAGTGGCTGAAAGCACTTGTGTGGGTAAAGCTGAGAATGATAGGGTCGGGCGTCATTCAAGAACAGCTTTAAGGAGGAGGAAGGACGCATAAGGAGCCCCTGACATCCAGGTTAAGAATCGCTCCGAGGAAAAACCCCGCCAGAAGCTTGAACTAGGTTGCTTTCTCAAAGAGGGAGGGAATTATTCATCAAAAGTCGTCGAGACGGACAAAACCTCCACCGCCTCTTACCAAACTTTCGTCAAAAGCACGTTTCCGCTGTAGCATTCCTGTACTAGGAGTTGCCGCCGTGGATTGGAACGAACCGCAAGGATATAAGGAAAGGTCAGGTCAATCAGCGACAATTTCGCCTTTCCGCCTGGAACGGCAAAGAAGCGCGCCGAGAAGCACAAGTCAAGAGGATGCTTGCCTCACAGCTCGCCGTCGAAAGTAAAGAATGTGTACGTCACATACATGAAAGTTTGACCTTGCAAGCAAAGCTCGAACCTCCAGTCGAACCATCTAATCGCTCCAAACAGATTAAGCCCATGTATTGAAGATTCAAAAGAGACAAATTGCGCGTGTCCTTGCCATGGCTCAAACGGCTCTCACCTATCGTGAGACACGGCAATGACCGTTCCTTCGAACGCCCGCAGTGCATCTTCCAGCACTTCCTTGCTCGGAATGTCCAGATGGTTGGTCGGCTCGTCGAAAACTGCACCAGAAGAATGCCGCTTAGACTGGCATGCCTAAGCTAGCAAAAAGAACAGTGAGGGTCACCCTTCCTAGAAGGTCAAATGCAGCATGCAGGTTCTTGGGGCACAACCCAAAACTGGACCATGGTCTCACCCCAAAACGCAGCCGACATTCGGATGCTATGCCAACATATGTGGGCATTTTGTCCACGTTCCAAAAACTGCCAGAAGCGGTAGAGTTTGTCAAGGCACGCACAGCTGAAGTCCTCAACTGACGAAACACTGAGAGCGCTTTCAAGCTTCCACTCGGGATCTGATACCAACCGATTGCTCCACAGACCTCTTCCCGAACCAAATAAGCACTTCTCGGAAAGTGTTTTGAGTAGCAGTCGTGAATCTACGGATTCTACCCGCATATTGGCTGAACGTAACTGCGTATTCATCCATCGACATCTAATACACACAAATCCCCAAGCTGATTGTAAAAGGCCAGACCCAGTCAACAATGGTGGTGATGAAAAGCCAATGTCTGTCACCTCTTATTTACAGTACTCTATCCTCCGGACGAGCACATATTTAAACCGTTCGCAGACATGCCATCTTTAAGCGGTCCTCACAACCAGACCCCGAGGCCCCATCCAAGCGTTCCACCCCTGATCCTAAAAGCAAATCCCAGAACTTGTCGAAGTCAGAAAGTCCTTCCTCAACGAGGATAACCGATGCTTTGTGCCTCCTTACTTAGCACGGTGGCAGGCGTGACCATAAACTTTGCGAGCGCGACACGCGCCTTCTCCCCCCCGCTCAAGAACTCGACCTTCTTGTGGATGGTGTCGCCCTTAAAGTACAGCTTCCCCAGCAGGCCCTTGATCTCGTTCAGCTTCCAGTCTGTCGCGGCATCCACTACGGTCTGCAGCACCGTTTTGTCCAAATCCAGCGCCTCCGCCTGGAACCCATGGTTAACGAGGGTTAGCAATCAACAGGAATTGAGTTCGCACCTGCCAAGGGTTGAACTTCTTGCGTTTTCCAGCAGTTGGAACAGAATTTGTTCTTCTTCTTGCATGACGGTGTTTAGAAACAAACCCCCTCTAGGCAAGCGAGGAACTGACTACAGGCTAACACTTGAAACAAGAAGGATGGTATCTCTGTCATTTCTGCATACTACGGTGAACATACCACATTGGAAATGACCAGCAAACCCAACATAGAAGGTGCCGCCTGTAAGAACCAGCTATATTCAGTCCCTCATTGGCCCCTGTTGCTCCCTCCATTGACTTACATGATTTGAACCTCAAGGTGCCCTCCCTCACCCATAACTTCCTGTAGCAACTCTCCAATGCCTTACCCTAACATCCCTTTTCAACTCTTTAAAGTCATACCAAGATTATACTTGCTCCCTGCTTGTGTCCAGGCAGTAGTGCGGTTCCCATCCCTACCTCCACCAGGACACCTCAGGCCCTGACTGACACCCACGCTCAATCTCAACATCACCTAGCTTGCTGTCCCCCCGCTCCCGATCATACCCTCTAAACCCCCTGCTTTGACCCTTAACATCTGTCCTGTCACCCATATCTGTCGTGTCACCCCTCGAATAACCCTTTTGACCTCACCTGGGCCTGCTCATCGCTAACCAGGCGTCACTAATTGCTTTATCAATTCCACCTTGACCATCTCAAGCCGCCAGAAACCCCAAACCACTGGCTAACCCTGGCTAAACCTTACCTGATTTTGCTCAAAGTAGTTGGGCAGCACGCGATGGCCCCCCAGGATGATCTCCCCCGCCTGCGGCTGCTCCCGCCCGAGCAGCAACCGCAGCAGCGTGCTCTTGCCGGACCCGTTGGGACCGATGAACGCAAGCTTCTCACCACGCTCAATCTGGAGTGACGCCTTATCAAACAAGAGCTGCACAAACAAAAGCGCTCGTTGTCAGGAAGTGACTTCGCCATGAGACTAAGAGGCCACAGCAGATGATGATGTACATGTGACTCAGGCATAAACCTAGAAACTGGACAATCTAGCACTACCAACAACCATGAGAGGAAGGCAATGTCCCTTGAAAAACATCCAAGAACGACTTTCTCACGTTCCAAGAATTCACCATCATGACACCTTCTTTATCGACTTAACCTACTGTACCAGCAGACCTAACCTGCATACTGTTGCCAATACTACAAACCGGCACAGATCTGGTTAAAATGGTTGGGCGACATTTGACTCGCATGCGTCGCCCCTTGAGTGGAAGCACTAGAGAACAAATCGACAAAATCCAATAATCCACTCGGAGGCCTGGTCATCTGGCATACTCGAAGACCCTGGAGTGGCTTACCTTGTCCCCGTACCCGTGCGTCAGATTTTCGATTGTGAAGACCTCCCGTCCACTCCGCTCCGTCTCAGGGAACCGGAACGGAATCACCTTCCGGTTGAACGGCTTCTCAATCAACTGCTCTGTCTTCAGCTTCTCGAGCATCTGCACCAAGTTTCGACATGTCAGCCGATAAGAACCACCATCAGATACCGCACACTGATTCTATATCCAGCCCTGGCCTGCGCTTTCCCCTTTCTTAGATGTGACCACTATCCATTGCCCAACGAATACCTTATTGCAAACTAGCACTCCCTACGACAAATTGAAAATCTTCTACAAGCGACTTGCACCTCAAAACTTGGATATGTGCAGAGGACCCCGAAAAAGAAACTGACACCTGCCCAGAACTGACAACGCCCCACTGTCCCACGTGCAGACCAATGGAAGACGTTCTGCAGTGGCCCCAGAAGTCTCTAATCAGACTTGCAGACAAGAAACAAACCCTCTACCTAGATACCAAGGACTCTGGTCCAGTTCTCTCTTGGCTCCACTTCTCTTTCCAATCGAATCAAAGTTAGCCCTAATTCTAACTTGCAAACCCCAATCCAAACACTATATCTACCCCAGGTCTTGCCCCCCCACCTTCTCCGCCATGGACGCCCGCCCCGTATTGGCTCCCCCCGCCAGCCTGTCAATGATCTCCTGCTGCCGCTCAATCTCCTTCTGCTGCTTCTCCCACGCCATGAGCTGCGCTTCATAGTCCGCCGCCTTCTGCCCCACATACTCGCTGTAGTTTCCCGGGAATGTCTTTGCTACCCCCATGTCGGTCTCCACAATCTTGGTGCTCAGCTGGTCCAGGAACGCTCGGTCATGAGACACGATGACCATCGGCACGTCCTGCTGCTTCAGGTACTTTTCGAGCCACTCGATCGTGTCAAGGTCCAAGTGATTGGTCGGCTCATCTGTTCAAAGAGATTCTTACGTTAGTGGACGATCAGACCTGATTGGTCAGCCAATTTTATGCAAATAATCGTAGTGGAAGGGGGCTCGGAACTCTGAATCTTGGGGGTTTGCAGTAAGAATGGCTTTTCTTTTTCCTGAAGAACGCCTTGGCGTCACTCCAAGCAGGTCAAAGGGCGCACAGAATAGAAGAGGCTACAGCCTCACTTGTTGGGACAACTCAAGCTTGAAAAGCTTGAAGAAGTTCGTCGAAGGGCTCAGGCGGTGCTTGGGCGGTGCTTGCGGCAGAATTACACGAAATCCTGACTCTTAAGTCTGGCTCTCAGGAATTCAGTCCATAACAAAGGGCGTTGCAAGAAGGCTGGTATGGTAAGTCAAGAAGAGATGGGTAGGAAAAGCAATATACGGGGAGCAATGCTGCTAAACCTAGGAGAACATGAAAACAAACCCAACAAGCAGAGACAATAAGCTACAAGAAAAGGCACTGAGGCTGAACAGCTGATTGGACAACCCCCTCTCAAGAGACCCCCAGAACCACTCTAACACCCTATGCACAAAAAAGCACACAAAGACATGGACAACCCTGCTTGAGCCAACAGAGTCTGCAAAACCCTATGTTTGAAAGAACCTCATTCTACGTGAACTCCAAAAGTGGTGACCGCTTGAGTATGCTCGCAGCAGCAAAGGGGAAGAGATATAAGGGTTGAAAGACTTTACCTAGCAGCAAGAGGTCGGGGTCCTGCAGCAGAATCTTCCCAAGGCTCATCCGCATCTGCCACCCGCCGCTGTAGCTCGCCACCAGCCGGTCATTGTCCTCCGGCGTGAACCCTAGCTCCGGCATCATCTTATCTATCTTTGCGTCGATCGAGTACAAGTCCACCGTCTGCGCCCTCCGCTGGTACAAGTCCAACTCATCCAGCAGCGCCGACATTCTATCCATGTCATCGGTAGCCTTCTCCAGCTCCTGGTTGATCCACTCGATCCGCTGCTTCACCTCCATCTGCTCCTCAAACGCACTCATAAACTCCTCTCGAACCGTCCTCGTTGGAACCACGGTAAATTCCTGGGTCAGGAAAGATATCTTCATGTCCTCCTTGGCTTTCATAACCACGCCCTCGTCTGGTTCCTCCTCCCCCACTATAATCCGCAGCTGCGTCGTCTTGCCTGCCCCGTTCACACCGACCAGCCCCACCCGTTCGCCCTTGGTCACCTCCCACGTGACGTTCTTCAACAGCTGATGATTCTTGTATGTTTTAGAAATGCCCTCCAAACGCACCCCCGAGCTCACACTCGACGCCCCCCGCATATCCCCGCCTCTCTTCTTTCCCCGCCGCGGCTCGTCCGCAACCGACAGGCCCAGGTCTACGTCCACCGTTTCGTGCACTGCCGCAACCATGACCACTGCTTCCCTCCGTACGCCCCTTGCCTTTGCAGGCAACCGTGCGCAGGAAACTCTATGTTGTCCTGTCAGAAAGGAAGTATTTGCGCCCGAAGTAGACGCAACTTGCAAGATGTCAGGACGATGTGAAACCATGGCAGCTGAAGAAGGCCGTCTGGGTTCGAAGGAAGAAACGGTTTGTGAGGAGGTAAGGGACATAGCGGCCATGCCGGCCGCACACCGGCCTGCTTCTGCCAGCGCCATTGCTCCCATTAATGGGCAAAATACCTTTCTGAAAATGTAAGAGCCTCCCTAGTACAATGCTGGCGCTGCCTTTACCAACCAAGCACTTGCAGCGCAGAGAAACTCAGAAAGGAAAAGGGAAAAGGGCCTACAGGACCACACGATTCACAGTTCTGACACTGACATCAGTCGCCCTGAGTTCAAACAGACAAGGTATGAACATTGAAAGCTTCGCCATCATTGACTCTGAGTAGAATCTTCCTAAGGCATTGATATTTGACGCTGCCATCACCATCCTGTGGCTCACGGCGGGCCACGGAGCCCAGTTCTACCGTGTCAGGGGATCGCTCAAAAATCGTTGCTCAACTCGCGCCTCCGTCATCGTCCACGCATTTGTATCGACGGCTTCAAATAGATTTAATACAAGAGACGATCACCAGATCCCAAAGAATTATGAGAGTTCAAAGTTCAGACTTGGAAGCTTGAAGCTTCAGAGGGCTACACAGCATCGCATATGAGTTACTAACTAGTGCGGTATCTAAGACAGCTTGACAGCGAACTCGGTACCTATCTGTGACAGCTTGAAAGGCGAGTCGGCCGGGGGGCCCAGGTTTTCCACGCATGGAGCCCAACGAAACACCTATGCTGCAGGGTGTCATTCGAGCATGGCACTCCTTTGCAGAATGCTCATGCAGTCGGAAACTCAAAACGGATCCAATACGTGGCTTGGATCTTCCCGGAAACCCCACTAACTAAGATTCTGCACGACATGCGCTTCAATGAGTGACCGAGTATGAATAATGTAATTCGACCATCGGTAGGCTTGGACTCATACTATGTTCTACCGCGGCATATGGGTACTTTGGACCCAGAACAGATGCATTGCCCGGCATTAAACTGAGCCGCCGCAAGAAGCTTCTTTCAATTGCACATCCTACGGTGGAACATTGACTGCATGACCGTAAAACTAATGCGACGAGCCTGCTATAAAGGATATAAGCCGATTGCGAAGTGCAACTGTGGAACGAATGGGATCCTGATATTTTCAAGTAACAATCAGGCAAGGGTGCACGTACTCTATGCACACTCTGCATGAGCAATGGTTTGCACAGAAACTGCTAAGCACAAGAGCTGCAGACTGAACATTAGACTTCGTACCTTCCCACCAAACCTTGTTGGTAGCGCAACAAAGATTGCGGTTGGAAAAACCAAAGAATGAATCCTCCAGATTCCGACTACTGTAACCAACCACTTCGATTGTATTTGCAATTGACTAGCAGTAACCACTATGCTCATCGATTAGCGGAATGTCCACAATACCAAGCTGAACTGTTGTATATACATGCGCTAGCTCTTGCTCTTAGAGTGCTTGACCAGCCAGTCTAACGTGATATCGATGTTGGTTGCGTTCTTGCACGAGATGGTGTAGCATGCAATCTCCCTGTCCGTTATCAAGCGGAGGTCCCTGCAGCAAGGCCGTCCAATACGTTCAGATCAACACCCTCAAAGCAAACATGCCGCTAGAACGTGCACCCTGCGCACCAACTCCGAACACCCCTCCCAAAAGGAAGTATGTTCCTTGCAGTTGTGTCGAGCGCAACCTGCCAACCTTGCAGCGCACACGAGTCCGCTTACAAGCCTTTTGGATTCATGAAATAGGGCGTAACTACTCACAAGGCATCGATGAGTGCCCCGGTACTGAGGGCCTCTGGCTTGTCGTTCTTGTTCCCCAGCACCAGCAGTGGAATACCCGCGAGTGACGGCTTGCTCAGCAGCTCGTACAGCTCGTCCTTCGAGGTCTTTATGTTGTCGTGGTCGGCAGCGTCGACAACATACCTGCAATGCCCAAGCAATTGCAAAAATGCAAGGATGTCAGTTTACTTATGCGGCTTCTCATGGGGCTAGGGAGAAGCGATTCAGAATAAGGATCGATGGAGACCTCTCGAGTGCGCAAACGAACCAGCCACTATTCGACCAGATGGTCAACTGGCTTTGGAACTGTTTCTTCTCCGCACAAATCGAGTGAAGGGCAAACCCAAAGAAGTGGTAATTTGCAAAAAGGTCAAGTGCCTCATTGAGAAGGGAGTTGGACCAAGAGACCATCAACATGCCGCAGGGCTTGAGCTTTGGGACTCACACAATGGCCGACACCCCTCTGCAGTACCTCTCCCACATGCTTCTAAACCGGGGCTGGCCTCCCAGATCCCACAGTTTGATTGTGACATTTCCCTTTGTAACTTTCCGCATATTGAACCCAACCTGCTCACACGGATTTCAAATCGTCAGCACAGGTGGACCGAGGGCGAAGCAATCTGGGGGCAACAGACGAACGGACATAGGACTTCCGCCCCCAGGAGATGAAGGCGAACAGCGGCACATCAAAGTTGGCTTCTGGCAATCAGGAAATGCAACACATAAGCTGCCAAGCGAACGCAACACACAAGGCCCAGACTAAACAGTCACATTAGGGTGGGATGGTGGTCCGACTAACCGTGGGAATCATGTCCTCGTCGTACCCGCCCGTCTGCAGGAAAGATGGCATTGTCTTACATGAACGAGTAAGAGCGGGAAGAGCTTGTAAACCCTTCTTCTCGAATTCTAACTGATGACTGATTGGCAGTTTGCTTACTTGCTGCTAAACATTCATTTGCACAGTCCTCAATATGAGATAGATGCAAGACATCACGGCAGCTGCTGCAGATGGATTTGAAAGCTGCAAAAGGAGCCTCCTTCCATGATGTGCAATTCAAACCCCAATAAGCCAAGTTAGGCTGACCAACCGAGCAGGAGAGGGTGGCTTACCGCAATAACATTCACTAAGGAAGTTTTTCCGGCATTTTGAAGCCCGATCAATGAAAGCTCCATCTCCTGTTTGAAGAACAAGCTGGCCAACAAAAATAGGTGCCGTCAGAATTGTGACCGCAGTTGCTTACGCTGGCATTAGAGTCCGCAGATTAGGGTGATGAGAAGCGCCAGGTTGCTGGCTCACTACCTATAAGAAGCCCAAGAGCATATCCAGCCTCCAAACGCTTTGCTTGCAATTGAAACAGGGCCGGATCAAATCTATGAAAGCCAGCGGCGCTTACCTTCGTATCCAATTCAAAAAGGTATCCCATAGCCCCATCATTGTGCCCAGAAGGTCCTGCCTGGTGCTGTCCACTGCCCTCCAAACAACAGTATTCACACGTATGAATCGACTTTCTGTGTCTCTTTCCAACTTCTAGCTTTCCAAATTGTCACTGCATGTAACCTCCCTTGCGCCAAGGACCGTAAAGAATCTTTTGAAGGAGGCCACTGAAAAGGTTGAAAAGAAAGCAGATTTTCGTGCAAACTTCCAATGAATGCCCTTCCAACGTTTGCAAAGCGCCGCCTCTCCAAGAACTTTCGAAAATTGAGTTTTCGTCTCCTTCTATGGCCGCCCACAAATCAGCTCGCCGTCTAAGTTTGGCGTCACGAGCTCCGTTGAAAGTGAAGACGTCCAAGTCAGCAAGTAGTCGAACTCCTCCAAGCCACGTCACGTAGTTAGATTCACATCTAGCGCATGGTGGTTCTTGTGAATTCTCCAGATGGAGAGCCATTGCGCGCAAAAACAACCTAGGCACCTGTTCTTGATAAGTAGCTCTTGGGGATTCGAGGCCCTGTTGTGAAACTTGGAGCTTTATTATCGATGTGAGTTAATCTGAGTTTGCAACCATAGACCCATACAGGGACCCAAGAGATGACGGTATTACACAAACACTTGATATTAGCGTTTAAAATTTAGATAATACAGGTGGCTGGTTGAAACCGCATAAAGAACCAGTACCTTGTTGGTCCACAAGTGGACGCCTCGACGTTCTGATCGTCCTCTTTCTGGATTGCCAGGGGCGTGGCTGAGGCAAGGGCGCCTCTTTTCTTCTCCGAGCTTTCGCAGGGTTCCTTGGAGGGAAGGACCATGAAGTACAACCCAAGTGAGGAGCCTCAACAAGCTTTCATGTCCTCTTGGATGTGCCTTTCTCACGGAAGAAGGGAATCGGCAATTCAGAGTCCTGGAGGCAGATTTGTATTCCTGCTGTCTATACGCAGTTGCACTAGGCTGATACTTCTAAGTAGCTAAGGCGAGGTTGCAGGTCCTAACCATGCCGCGGAGGAGTACCTACGTCACTAGTGTGTTGGTAATGGTGTTGGTAATGGTTCAGCGTATTGGCACAGTTTTCTTTAGTCATTCTCACCGAGTTAGGTGGAGACACCTCGTGCACCAGATCAGAATCTCAGTAGATGTTGCTGGGCAAGAGGTTAGGGGTGGGCCCGGAGTTGTGCAGTGAAGCTATGGGAAGCTCATTACGGGCTGCACCTATGTTGCACCGGCGGGGGCATGCGAAGGTGCAGGTCAATGGGGCACGGGGCAACTTTTGTCCGCAGAGGCATTGTTCTATGATTTTCACGTCCAAGTTGGACACCGAGTTGATTATCTGCTCAGAATGTATTCCCTGTTTTCCTACTCCATGAAAGGTATGGAAAGAGCTCCGCATTTGAGATGTTCCATGTGATGAGAGAGCCTCAATTCTGCCCCCGCTTTTTCTGCAGAGGTGAGCTCTTCCCGGCGGAAGAGCCGGAAGGCTCACTTCACTGCCCCCTCCAGCGAGAGGCGCGTCATCATGAGCGCTTCTCTGTCCTCTGAGCTCAAGGGCAAGTACGGGGTAAGGATCCGAACCATGTCAGAGACTTGAGAAGGAGGGTAGGGTGATTGTATCAGCATCAGCCTTACCCAGGAGTTGCTAGCGTTGGCAACAAATGGCTGCTGCGCTCGCGAGAGACTGCGACCAGACTGTTCGCCTGAAGTCTCAGGGGAAGGAAGTTTGACGGCACCGTTTGTCCGCTTTTCCAGGTGCGTGCGGTCCCTGTGCGGAAAGATGACGAGGTCCAGGTGGTAAGTTTCGGGCCTTCCCACATTCACCTTGTGACTTTGACAATCAGACTGTCCACTACTGGCAGGCGGTAACCTGCTAGGATTTTATGGACCAAATCGATAGAGGTTGGCGGACTACTGTAGACAGTCATCTCCTGATGTCCAGCGACGGATTTTGTCACAAGCGGCAGTCAAAAGGCGGTTCCGAGTCGCCGTGGCCGCTGGATCACAGAGGCCTTGATAGAGCAGGCGGTTGAGATTGTCCGGGTAGACTGGGATGGAACGGAGGAATTGAGTGGAGGCATCGGAGTTGACTCCTTTCTGGTGTTTCAGGTGCGGGGCACGTACAAGGGCCGGGAGGGCAAGGTTGTGCAGGTGTACAGGAGAAAGTGGGTCATCCACATTGAGAGGATCACCAGGGAGAAGGTCAACGGTGAGCCAGCGAGGCGCTTGTCAAGTAGAAAAAGTGTAACCTTCATGGTTGTTGTGAACATTCTGTGGGACGTTCTGAGGAACACATTCCCAAGAACAGCTGGCTGCAGATTCGGTGATGGATAGAGCAGTTGGCTGGTTCTTGGTGGTCCACCAGGGCTGAGGGAGTTCAGCGAGAGTTTGCACTTTGTGCTGAGGACTGACGTCTAGGCTTGCTTTTGTTGGGTGGAGGTCTGCTAGTGAACATCTCGAGGCTCGTCACCTAAGTTGCACCCATTTTGTGACCACTGACGGTCGACTCTTTCACAGAAGGCATGTTCGACAGTGTTGGTCAAGGTGTGGACTGCAAGAGGACTGGATTGACGTTGATTGTAGTATTTCGGCTCTGACGGGTATGCCACTGCCGACCTGCTCTGTAGTAGAAGAGTTACGAAGCGGGGTTCCTGAGTCAAGTTTTGTTGACGTCATCGAGTTTTGATTGCATCTTGTTTGAATTGTGCAGGGGCCACCGTGAATGTTGGCATCCAGCCTTCCAAGGTTGTCGTCACAAAGCTCAAGCTGGACAAGGACAGGAAAGCGCTGCTAGAGCGGAAGAAGAAGGGCCGGGAAACCGAGAAGGGCAAGGGCAAGTTCACTGACTCCGACATCCAGGCCATGCAGGATGTCGATTAGGCTGCGAGCTTTCGTTCCACTTCCCTTCAATACTTTTGCTGCCAGAAGAACGGATCCCTTGTCCCTCATCAACTTCGGTGTGCATGGAATGTCCCTGCTCAAGTGGGGTTACTACGCCATGCACATTATTCAAGCATACACAAATCCTTTACGGTTGCACTTTTTTATCTCTGGCGCGTTTTGGGTGAGGTGAAGTGAGTCGAAGGTGTCCTATGTTTTGGCATTGCCTCGACGCGACGGTTGTCTGCATCAAAGGCTTGATGTAAGACGGTTGGACAATGTGACAAACACAGAGCGGGCCTGCACTGACTGATGAGCAGTTGTACATATATACATTATTGCAAAGGGCAGCCTGTCATGCTTTTTGTTTGTACTTGGAACTTCTCTCAACCATTCTCCATATAGTCCGAATTAATATCGTTCTCAAAGTTACACTCTCAGTTTGCGGCAGCGGTCCGAACCGTGCCATATATGTCCCATACGGTCTGCACCGTCACATGCATATATCGCGCTCAGCTAATGTGCCGCTGGCACATGTATTGGCGCCTGTCTGCAGCCGGCTGACCGAGTAATGTCATGCATCCGTTCACCCGCATCATTGTGATTGAGCCCCGGCCGGAGCCTGCTATAATTCAAGCCAATTGGCAGCTGTGTGATATTTGCACTCACGATGTACTGCATGTGCCGGCCGGGCGATATCTGACTCATGCATGTCGCACCAGCGCCATGCTCATATTGAGTCAGTGATGTATCTCTGCGCCGGGGTTGGCGACTACTAACAATGCACATGTGGCAGCCCTGGTCAACGACAATTCCACAATGAGACTTGGATCGTTGGACGCGGCAATATCACCTCAGTTGCTCATGCCACTGAGATGTTGGCGACAAACTGATTGGAATCAAATTGACTAGGCATGCGGCTAAGCTTCAAAACCTGTTTGTATGCTATTAAAGCGTGGAGTTTTGTAGCCTGGCACCTATACTAATGCACAAGTTAAGTTGCTCATGATACAGAGCCGCTTAAGCAGTCGCACTGACCTCTTTACTGGAGGCTCTGTGATGCCTATGATGGCGGCCCCTGGAATATTTTACCTGCATCTAAGGCCGCCCGGGATGTACATAGTGACTCTCCTTAGAAAACACTGTCCTTCTGCATTGCAAGGGCCTGCGAAGACTGCTTGCGCAAACATCCTTCCGCCCTTCATTCGCCGAGACTGCCAACAAAACATACACTAGATACACTACTCCACACTTCTTCTCAGTGGACCAACCTCGGCCGGCTCCTCTCCTATCGGCGTAATACCACCCTGCTTATCATGCTCGTGCCCCGTCATATCCTTCCGCTCCGCCACCGGAGGTGCTTCAGTCCCGGGCAGGCGGACCACCACGATCGGCACGCCGCAGTGATGCACGCAGTAGTCGCTGACGCTGCCCATGCGCGCATCGCGGCGAGAGGCGCGGCGCGTGGCGCCGAAGCCCTTGCTGCCCATCACGACCGCGTGGCAGCCGAGGCGCTCCATCTCCAGGCAGATGCGCTCCTTCATGTCGTGGTCCTGCGGGGCAGGGCAGGATGTGAAGAAGGAAGTGCAAAGACCAAAATACTGAGTACGACAATGTTCGGAGATGTAGAAACGTTGACTGGTTTCGGATACGTCACCTCGAGGGTCCACCATCTTAAAGGGAATGCGACTCTTCGTGTCAATTCTGACGATCATCGGCGAGAGCTTTCAAAAATGAGATTGTGTCAGAAGAGGCAGCAAGAAAACATGACAAGGATGAACAGAGCGGCAGTCATGCAGGTGAAACTCTTTATGGTCCACATTTGCCAGGCGTCTTCGAGACGTGGTCTTGGAGATGGCAGTATCGGACAAGGAGGAGCAAGACTATTTGGACAGAACGGACAACGAAAAGGCGGGAAGACGACAGCGGGGCGAGTGAATGCACTAAGTTTTGAAACTCGTGCCCAGCTTTTAGATTGAAGTAACAACTGACCGCAGCCATACGAGGCACACCTCGTCCGACTGTTTGAAGAGAGCGCAAACGGAGAGGGCTCACTCAGGATCAGGGAGTCGATCAGGTGAAGGATGTTCAAAGGCGCCAGAAGCAGACCCGAAGAATAGGGATACTATAGGACCAGTGCAGAAGTGCTTGATTGCTGGTATCGTCGCCTATGAGCAAGTAGAACCATGGACATAGAGAGCGCAGCCTGCCTGCAGCCCCGCAGCAGAGAATTAAGAAACGGTTTAGATTCTAAGCTTTTGACTTCGAAACAGGCGAGTACAGAGACAGAACTTTCACGTCAAAAGCCTTAGGAAACGGCCCGCACCTTTACAATATGTATCCGGTAGCTTATCCCCGCATCCTTCAGGGGTTTGCTCAGCTCCTCCGCCTTGCCCTGCATCAAAGAGCGACTACATGAGTAAACTTTGATAAGGCGAATGATCGAGTTATTCAGGGACTTTCGACCTTCAAACCACATTCATCTTCATCGAATTCTTTCTGGCTTTCATCAACCTTAGTAGTCGATGCAGTAGAAACATCAAATGCAGCGGGCCCTCTCAACAAGTGACAGAGAATTAGTGGAAAAGGATGGACTACAAGGACAACGAACTTCTGGAGTGAAAAACCCGTCCCCAATTAACACAGTACTTTGGACATGCGTTAAACACATAGAGAGCTTTCACGGAGGCAGGGGCTCTTGAGGTCATTCTTTGGATGGGGAATCGACCAGGTCTCCTACAGAAATCAGGCCCAGTTAAAATCACAACTTCTGGAGAAGTGTGCACTATTGCCATGTTCTCAGCTCTCTCCAAATCATGCATGACAGTTCATGTCTGCTTCATCCGAATCCAGGGCGCGATCCTCCCAGAAGCAGGTCAAAGAGACTACAGAACACACATAGGCACGAAATGGAGAGCCAGGTCAAGATTACAGCGCATAAACCTGAAGAACAGGAGCAATGAAGTGGCCCAGTGAACATGCAGTTTCAAACACTGTCGCACACACAAGTGGGGTCACAACCTAAAGGAAAACTTCCTACCCAGCAGCTATCTCAAATAGTAAAACCAGACCAAACCTTCATGACCAATGAGTCGAGCCAAGTCCACCTACCAAAGTCAGTGCATCAAACTCCTTCTCAGTCTCCTCCGTATGCCCTCTCCGCCCTGGGTACTGCGGTCCCCAATCAGCTCCATACAGGCCACTGGTAGGTTGGACATGGAGCACTATCACCTGCCGACATGAACTTCCTCATTTGGGAGGGCTGATTGTTTCCACAAGTTGTGTTCCTTCACCGAGAGGCCATTTCTCCTCTCACCATGTAGTACAGAAGAAGAGGAGTTCTCCTCACGGCAAACCGCACTCTGCCTGATTAATCTATGGATACTTTCCTTGGTTTATGTATCGATACTGCACAGTTCAAAAAGACTAACACATCCCAGGTAGTTAGAGAGTAGCTGCGCTGTAAGCAAACACGAGAGTGCTTGACCAACTTGACATAGGGCCTTTCTCCTGCTTGACTCTAGATAGTGAAAATTATGAGGAGTGACTGACATGAGGATTGCAAATCAAAATCTCTGCACGCCATGACAATATATCGAACTGTTCCTTCATCCCAACATAAAGTGCCAAACCAGATAGACTGGCCTTTACAAAACAAAGCGATGCAGGTTTGCAGTTTCTAGAATTTCGCACTTAATGCCACCATCCTTGAATTCTTGTAGTTGCCCCTTCTGCCATTTCAATCTTTGTCAAATATGATTGTAGCCACTGAAGAGCTTTTAACGACCTTTCAACATTTCAAAAAGAAAGACATTCAACTTCTCAAGTGTGCTTGTTTTGCGACTCTCAGATGGTTTGCTCTTTGGAAAGCAGAATAAGGTGGGAGGGCAGAAGCATGATACATGCTCACCTTATCAGTCTTCCTCAAGTAGTTCTCCACGGCCCACTGCAATGCATAAGAACTCTCTTCAGAAAGGTCGACGCTAATTGCAATTCTTCGCTCTGTCGGGGGAATTGCCATTGTGTATCACACCATTAGCTACCCTCCTGGGATCCCCCTCAGCATACACACTGTGCCCAGAAGGTGCACCAATCTTTCGGCACCAATTTGAACGCCTGAGGAGAGTCTAAAAGCGGCTCTTTTGCGCCCATTCACCCATTTCAAGCTGTGCTTTCTTAGGCAACTTCAACTTCAAGCTCTTGCATGCATGACCACTTGACTTGACTTGACTGGCGCTTCCGGCGCCTCGCGACCACTGGCAGCTGCACCAGCTGCTATCAACCATGGACCTCTAGACCACCACTGAGGTAAGAAGTGGCCACCCTCCTCTACCTATGTAGGGATGTCGGAAGAATTTTCGGGGGTATGGCCAGTCTGTTCTGCAGCAAGTATCATGTAGTGAACGGCCCCCCAGCCAGACCCAAGTCTGTCAGGTTCAGAATTCTTGGCATTCGACGACCCCAGCCAGTTCGAAAAGGGACTTCCACAGGTTTCCGTTTGAGCGTTACATCCCGTTGACTTTTCGACGAGGACTGACGTGGCAGGTTAGTCTGAAAACCGATGAACTGGTCAAGCGAGCCTAACTTCCCTCAGGACTGCGGAACAATGGCTTCCTCCCTGTTCACCATGGTTATGGCTCCCTCAAGCCTACCTCTTCGACATGGTGCACCTGTTGAGTGTAATCAATCAGGTGTTTCTTTCTTTTTCTTATAGAGCTGTAATGCTACGGAGTCTTCTGGGCTGAAAGCAGTCAGAGGCTGACTTAGCATTACACTCCAGACTGAAGACAGGGGGGCTTGGTGTTCTGTCAGGAACCCTGTGGACACAGGCGTCTGCCCACGCCACCTCAGCTAAAGTTGCTTCGTTGTCATCTGGGCAATGATGACTTGGACTCTTTGAGACCATTAGGCCTGGATTTGACAAAGGATTGAGACTGCAGTAGTCATCCATGTCTAGTTGCCAGGGGGGAATGCCAGGCAAAGTGTTCTGCACAAAGCAAGCACAGAACTTAGGCTCTAGTTTCACTAGCGGCGGACGGCACAAGGTTTTCTTTTTCAAATTCGCTGATTGGCTCCGGCTACATCGGAACATCTCTACCGCGCTTCCACTAGCGGTTGTGCCGGCGGAACTCGAATAAAATTTGATGACGTAAGCGGCACAACAACTAATTAAGTTCGACCCTAGTGCCACCTTGGGTCGAACTAAATTGTTTTTGTGCCGGCCTCCCATGTGGTCCGATGGACCACTCACATAGCGCCAGGTCCTCAAGTTGGCGGGCACATTTCGCGCCAGCTACGGTGCACTCCGCAGAGTCTGCACTGGCAGCACAACTGCTCTTGACACATCTGTGGTGAAAGCAGAAGCTCGTCAGCCTTCAGGTGGCGCGGGAGAGGTTTAGGGGTTTGCCTGCCACCGTGGCACGTTTGGAGACTCTTGTGCCGGCGGTTGTGCCGCGACGCAGTTTCACTGGCGGCCGGCAGAACTGCAATTTTTTCGCATTTTTTGGACTTCCGGGCAAGTTCCAGGCACCAAATAATTAAATTTAATGTTGTGCCGTCCGCCGCTAGTGAAACTAGAGCCTTAGAAGGGGATGCTGCCAATACCAATGCCATTGCTGGACACCATGGACGGGCTGTTGTCTTTGCTTTTAGGTTGGGATCACCTTGAAAATGCCTAGGAAGAGTGCAAATCAGAAGAAAGTTGCCAGCGCAAGCGCAGCCAGGTGGAAAGCCCAAAAGCAGGAGAAGGAGCTAGAGGCCTTGCGTGTAGAGGTTGCTGACACTTCAGTCACACTTGAAGCAGCTGCAGCCTCTCACTCCCTACAACTGACTCAAGAAAGGGCTCTTCATGCTGCTGAGATTGAGCAGGTTAGACTTGAATGTGAAGCAAAGCTCCAAGAGCAAAGAGAAGAAAAAGCAGAACAGGTTGCTTGCCTGACTGAAACATTGGCAGAGTTGATTGAACTGCATGAAACTCTTCAAGCAGATGCTTTAGATTATGAGGCCCTAGAAGAAGAGCGTCTTGATGCAGAACTGCAGATTGAGGAGCTAAAGGGCTGCTTATCGAGGAAAGAGGTTGAAGTTGAAAGTCTGAACGACCAGATCGCTGTCACAGTTGAGCAGAGACGTTTGCTTATTGAATCACTTACTGCTAGAGAGTCTGGGGGCATAAGCACCGAAAAAGTAAGGCAGCTTATACTGCTCTTGATCAAGAAATCAAAAACTTGATTCAACAAAAGAATAGGATGGTCAAGAGACTTGAGAAAGCGAGGGAGCAGAGGGAGGCTGGTCTTCTGCTCAAACTCACTAATACAGAGTTGAAGTTGGAGCTCAAAGCTAAAGAAGCAGATCTGTTTGAACTTGAGGCAACTCATGCAGCCCATGATCTTGAACTTCTAAAGCAGGCAAAGCAAGAAGCAGTGGATCAGATTGAGAAACTCGTGCACGAGAATAGACTATCTCGAGCTAGGGAGGCATACGCTAAGGACAAGAACTCTGAACTTAGGACTGAAGTGGAAGAGAAAACCCATCAGTTAGACGAAGCTTTGAAGAAACACAAGCAGGATCTAGAAAACCTTTTGAAAGGCACCAACGTCAACACTAAGCGAGGGCGCATCTTTACTGACTCTGTTAGGACTGTGTATTACAAACTGATCGCCCTCAACGTTCCAACGAACAGAATCCATGAAATCATTAGAGCAATATTGGGGGAGTTTGCTCCAGATGTAAAGCTTGGAAACCTGCCTTCAAGAACCACTGCATCGCACTTCAGGAAAGAGTGCGTAGGACTTGCATATCAGCAGACAGCAGATATCCTTGGAGGGTCCGGCGCGCATAAGTATCAGACTCTAAATGTAGACGAGGCTTCTAAGCAGAAGAAAGGTTTTCTTGCGACGGTGCAGACCACCATCATTGATGGTCAGCGCAAGTCGTTCGTCTTGGGTTTGAAAAGGACGTTCCACAAGACGGCAGTAGGCGCGTTGGGTAACTTTGAGAAGTTGCTTGAGGACATTCAGCTTGTCAATAGCAGAAGACTGGGACCTGGGGAGACGCTCAGACTGATCGTCAACATTCTTGAGTACACGGTGAACTCCCAAACAGACCGGGGCGCTTCTGTGCTCAAGTTTGTCACTGAACTCTTTCCAAAGTTCCGCGCAACTTTCCTTGCAAACTACAAGGAGGGGTGGGCCGACTTGACTCCTGAACAGCAGAAGCGTCTTTCAACAATTGTTGCGCACGATTGCAACAATCACTTCTGGCACAATGTTGGCGTCGCGGCTCTCAAAGGTCTGCATGACTTTGAGAACACCTACTTTGCTGAGGCAGCGGCGGCGGTCAGGGGCAAGGGGCATGCTTGCGCGGCTGAAGCTGCCGTCTGGGCGGCCATGAAGGACTTTTCTTGGCGCGCTTCCGAACAATCCGGCTTCGGGGCGCAGGTTCTCATTGAGTGGCTGGAGCAGATGACAGACAAGCATTTCGAGGACGCCGATTTTAAGGCGCAGCTCGGAAACCGCTTCAATGTGGTTTACGAGAATGCTGGTGGGCTCTACCACCTATTGGACGGCATCCTGGGCTTCTATGAAGGTTAGTCACTCTGGGCAATTATCTTCACTGAAGGATTAAGTGTTGTCCAGACTCATCAGTCAGTGTTCAGTGTTCTTTACTTGGCAATTGTCCGGGTAAGATAGTAACTTGGCTGGCGGCATCTCAGTCTGGGGTTGTGTCAGGATGAGTTGGTAAGGCACTGATTGCATTCAGCCAGTTAGGACCAATCAGAAGCGGTGCACTTAAAAGCCAAGAAAGTTTGCGTGTTCGTGAGCAACCTGTTTTGGTCAAGGCGCAGTGCACCTTAGTCTGGACAATAATTCTTAGTGAGCATTCTCTTTCAGTCAAGGTGCGGTGACTGGAGGATAAGGTGCTCTTGTTCTGGACTCCCAGCGCTCAGTTCAAAGATAGTTTCGTTGACAATTTGTTTCCTTCCTACAGAATCTTCGAGCACCTCAGCCGCAACGGGCGGCTACTTCAACCTACTCCATGTGGCGGTGGCTGCTCAGCTGTCCGATCCTGTCATCCAGGCACAACTCCGCGTCATGGGCCTCATCAACGCCCAGATCTTTCACCCCTGGTTCAAGAGGATCCACCAGCATGGCAACATTTTGGCGCTGAACGCACTGTACAAGAAGCAACGGGAGGACCTGGCGGCGCTGGTGGAAGACCCGTCCCATTTCATGGACGGCTCTTACCAAGCACTGCCGGACCTGCCGACAACCAGAGACAAGATTTTCGAGTCTCTCATAGCCCCAAGTAAGCTTTTTAACTTTGGTAGTCCTTTGCACTTCACGTGTCCTCTTGGGAAGTGATGACCTGTAGGTGCTAAAAAATAAGATGGTGACGGGATCAGCGCGGGCACTTTGTTCAGGACATGTGCAATGAATTTCTCTTCTCGTCAAGCTTACCCCACTTGGCTGCTTCATTTGCGTCATGGCGTTTTTGTGACGTCACTGTAGGTAGTCCACTGTTGAATTTGCGATGTCACTACAGGGCCACTTTAAGATTCCTTGTCTACTCCTCCAGATCACAACCTTGAAGTCAGTTTGGCTCTGGCTATAGGGTGCTCTGATTGGTGTCGTCTTTCAGTCTGTGCGGATTCTCAATTCCGTCCGTACTGGTGATCTTCGTAACCCGAACATAATCACCTTTTTTCACGACCTTTCTTCACAGGTGCGAACGACGCGATGGTGAAGGACATGCTCGTGTACAGCCTCGGAGCGGTGCTTGCCTACCTGCAAGTGGTGAAGGAGCAGTACCTGCCGGGAGGAGACTTGTGGGAGCCGGACGAAGAGACCTTTCGGATGGCAGAATCGGTGCCGCTGCACACGGATAGGGTAGAGGGGGTTTTCGCTCAAGTCGAGTCGATTCTCCGGAGGTCGCCGCGCATGAGCATGCTGACCGCTGAAGGGCAGGTGCTCGTCACTGCCAACAAGACCATCGCTTGGTTGGTGAAGCAGGCGGACAAGGCGGACATCATCACAGCGGCGCGCAAAAGCGTGTCGGGCTTGGAGAAGAGCGCGAAAGACCAGGAGACCGAGGGGCGTGAAGACCGCCAGGCGGAGCGCGCGCGTGTGCTCGCTCTAGCGGCCCAGAAGCTTCTCGCCGAGCAGGTCGAACGTGCCCGTCTGTGCGACGCTCTGGAGGAGCTTCGCTGGTGGAAGACTGCGGACGACATCGACGCAGGGCTGGCTCGAGTCGAGGTGAAGCTCCGTGAAGAGAGTCCCGACCTGCACGGGAGGTCGTTCGATGCTGCTTTGAGGGGGGAAAAGAAGGACGCGTTGATCGTCCAGCTGCAAGGGTTGCAGAAAATTAGGAAACTGGGGGCGCCGGCAGGGAACCCAAGCGCGTTTCAGAAAAGCAAGGGGGGTAAGGACTTTACAGTGGACGAATTGATAGCGAATCTTCTCAGCGTCCTGACTTCCGGTCGACAGCCAGCCCCAGCAGTTGGGGAACTAGACGAGAATGGGGACGAGGTTCTTCCTCCGGGGCGGCGGACTGTACGCCCGGTCGAACAGCAACAGCTCTTGCGAGAGCGAGACGCTGAGACCAGGCGGGTTGCTATTCTGTCAGCGCAGGAGCGGCGGGCGCTTGAGGATGAAGCAAAGGCGAAGGAGTTGGAAAAGAAGGAGGCGGAGAAGAGGGCAGCGGCAGAGGCTCGGGCAGAAACTTTGCGGCTCAAGACGGAGGCCGCAACGTTGGCTAAAGAGAAACGGGCCGCTGAGCGGGCAGCCGCCAAGGAGGAGAGGCTTCGACAAAGGAGGGGCCTGGGGGCTCAAACGGGGCAGGGAATGTTAGAGGCAGACGCAAATTTAGAGGAGCAGCCGGGGGGCAGCCCCGAGCACGAGCAAGAGGAGCGCGCGGGCGCGGAGGAGCAGCCCGGGGGCAGCCCCGAGCGCGAGCAGGACGAAGGCGCCGGGGCGGAGGAGCAGCTCGGGGGCAGCCCCGAGCGCGAGCAGAACGAAGGCGCCGGGGCGGAGGAGCAGCCCGGGGGCAGCCCCGAGCGCGAGCAGGACGAAGGCGCCGGGGCGGAGGAGCAGCCCGGGGGCAGCCCCGAGCGCGAGCAGGACGAAGGCGCCGGGGCGGAGGAGCAGCACGGGCAGTACGAAGGCGCGGACGCGAAGGAGCAGCCCGGGGGCAGCCCCGAGCACGGAGCCCATGTGAGCGCGGGCGCAGAAAAGCAGCCGGGGGGCAGCCCCGAGCAGAGCCAGAACTTAGTCGGGTGCACGGCGCAGGAACAGCGTGGGGGAGAAGCCGAGCACGGTCAAGTCGATCGGGCGGAAGGGGGGGGTGAACACAATCAAGGCGAGGTTGTGCGTGCGCCAGACGAGCAGGCGACATGGGAAAGCTCGGTATTGGGCGGCGTCGTGGTCGGCCGCAGAAAACGAAGGTCGAACCAGAAAAGGAGACCGAGGAAAGTCTTGCTCGGGTCACCAAATGCGGAAGCGGTCACAATTGGCAAACGCAAAAGAGCTCCTACTAGGGATGCAATGTTTGACTATAATGAGCATTAGTTGAGTTGTCAGTTATTTATTGATTCTATCATTTGAGTAGCTTCCAACTTTCACATTGCACATTAAGTATTGATCAAACGACCTAGCAAATAAAATGGATGTAGCATTGGCTTTCAATGAATGATCGGATCAGATCAGATGCGCTGCGACGGTTGTGTTTCTAGATGCCGGCGCCGTTCTTCCAGATGTATATTGCGTTTTCTCTGCATCGCGGTCATGTATCAATATAACGTCAAGCATTGAAGGCTCAATCATGATTCAAAGAAATTGAATACGATCGAAGTTTGAACGATCGAATGGTTGATACGTTGTACAGTTTAACAATTAAAATAGCGGACTATGATATAGAAATCGGGGTACATGATATATGAATGCCGTTTATATGAACGCCCAACTATGAATATGATTCTATCAATATCAGTGCCGTTTATGCCATAAACGCACGGGCGTGATCAATATGTTTTCGGATTCATTGAGGACTTCGGTGTTTATGGTATACATATTGCCATCATGAAAGTTGACATGATCTGAACCATTCCGATTTAAAACACTGTGGCCATCATGATTGACTAAATATATCTGGATTTTGGCTTACTAAAATAAGAAATTCCAGTGCACATATTAAATTCGTAAGTGGTACCGAGCATGCATTGACTCGACGCCATCAATCACATATAAATAATCTAGATTGATTTAGTGGCGGGCCAACTTGCCTACGTTTGGTAACACATTCAAGAGCAGTCACTAGAGCAGGCTCGTTGCATGGCAAAATGTCGGAAGGCAAACGCCTGGTTGACTATTATATGATGGTCAGCAAGTAGCAAAATGGGCAGCAAAAATACTGTGTTGACGTGAATCGAACCCGAGTGATCTTGGCAAAGTCGAACCATTGCGCTGCATCAAAGACTTTAAATTCATGAGAAAAAATATTTATGTACTAAATTGAGCCTACAGCCGAGCTTGCCTAGGCTAGCACGTAAATCGGTCCGATCAAGCAAGTAAATCGGTCCGGTCACTGGTCAGCCCCCGAATCGGTCTGGATCCTAACCGATCATGCAGTACCGGTCGCGCGCGCATTCCTGCCGGTGCGGACGGTACGATTTGGTCCGGACACAGAAATTTGAGAGCCGTCCGCAGAAAGTTCGATCGACCAGTTGACCACGGTCCTCAGCCAAGGAAGTCGCGGTCAACGGGCCGGAGCCTCGGAAAGTGAATTTTCGAACCTGCCGAAACTTGACTTACCTGGGGGTTCGAACTGAGTAAAACGCTTCCCGCGCAGACTGGACCTACCCCCCCGGCACCGTTAAAAATGCTACCGACATCCCTACTCTATGTGCTTGCCCTCCTAAGTTTCCCCCCGGCCTGTGGTCCCGCCCAAAGTACACATCCTGAGAAGTATGCCTCCTTTATAATAGGCAATGGATCCCCCTTGCCGGTGGCGGGGGACCTTTGCTGGCATGTTTCTTCCCTGCCGTCGGCGGGAGAGCATTGCAACAGGACAGGAGTTGCTCAAAACCACACCCTGCTGGTTGCGGGTGTTGGTGGCGAGGCATACCTATCGGAGCAACCATATGTGTACACCACAATATGCCAAAGCCAAAACATTGACAAGCACCCGGACAATCTCTGCTGTGAGTCCATGAGCACACATATGAGGAAGCCCTTCTTTAAAAATTTGCTGAGGATGAGGCCAACTGGACCAGGACCACCCACTTCTCAAAAGCCATCACAAAAGCTGCTTTTGGTAGCAAATGTTCTTGAAAAAATCTGGAGCAAATTACGAGGCTTGTTTTTACATGCCTTTACAGCCAAGACATACTCATGTACTGTGCCTGAGCTACAAGGAGCTTTTCCAGCTGCTCCCATGCTAATTGACAACCTCCCCCGTGAGGGCAGCCATTGTGCAGACTCCTTCACCTTCCTTCAGGCTCAGCACATCACCTCCTCCTTCGTGGAGGGGGGTATTCACACTTTCCGGTTGACTTCGAGCATTCTCCAATCGTACGGTTTCAATCATCGGCGTTTTGAAAGCTGCCGACTGCCTAACCGATTGGACGGTCCAAACCAAGTTACATGCAGAACTTACGCATCATGCGGTGCCGCCACCTGGCGCGCGAAGCGCGACCCAATCATTGCCCGAGCGCCACCTCTTCCACGGCCGATCAAAATCGTACCCAGCTGCACGAGCACCACCCCGTTGAAGTTGCCCACCCCAGGCACTTTCGCTCCTTCGAACAGGAGCATTACCCAATCGAAGCTGCCCACCCAAAAAACCCAGGAAACCCAGGAAACCCAGAAAACCCATACTGATCTTTGCTCCTTTCTACAAGCTCTTCTACTAGCGTTCTTCGTTTGGCACTTGGCAGCCTGGCACTCTCGGGCCAATAAGATTTTCCTTAGAATGCAGATATACTACGCCGCAATTTCGCTTAGGTTGTCAGGTAGAACCCGACGGATCCGACATCTATGTGCCGTACTGCACAGTCAACAAAAGCGCTTTCGGAAAAGGTCTCGTTCGGTATTTACTTTTACAGCACTATTAGTTTCTATAGCAACGTGCAACTGCATTGTGCCAACGTCCTATGTGGTCAGCCGAGTACGGTGGCGCAAACAATCACGAACACTGCCGCATCGGATCGGAGAGATTGGGTCATTTATTGACGATGCTATTCGCACGATGCACGCTGCGAATGGACTCACATTGAAGGCTTTTCTACACGAATTGTATCGGTCACATCCAATGTGCTGGACCGCACGATATCATATTGCACATGCAATACTAGCATCACATTCCATATTGTATGGTATCGCCGAAGCAAATGCTTTTCTAGGTTCTGTCCTTATTCTGTCGTTCTGCAAACTATTCATTGGTTTCGCGACTAGAAATGTTTCAGTCCTTTCTTATTGCGGTAATCTATTGTCTTCACTTATTTTTAGCCCAATGAGCTTCTTTGCGACAATCATCTGGGAATATCTTCAAGACGAGTATAGCGCAATTACTCGAAGCCTCCGACCTTGCCGACAAGTATGTCGCCTTTCCTGTATATACTTCCATCTTCAAAGCTGTTTGCTGCTTGTGTCAATAAAATACACGATCACCAATCCAGCTCATATGTGGTTATTTATCTTGCTTCTGATCTGCGGGGATATTCATCCGAACCCTGGACCTGTTGAATCATCCGTGACTGATATGCACATTGACAACAAACATACACCGGTCGCTGTAAGTGAGTCATTAAAAATTCTAAACTGGAATGCACGAGGCTTAGGTGGCGTGCATGATCACAAGAAAAAAGAACTTTTGAAATACATGGATACGAATAACATTCAAATTTCCATTATTACCGAAACGCGAGAAGCGGTTGGAAAATATAGTCAATCTCAAATAATCGAAGATGGTTTCACTATTTTTAAGGCGTCATATTATGATAAGTCGCACACCGCCAAATTCCTAAGTCTTGACCAAATGATCTGGGGGGTGTGCCTTATTGTAAAATCAGGTCTTGCGTTCAACATTCAAAAAGTCAATAATTCTCTTCTTGGCGCTCGTCTAATACACGGAACCCTTACCGTGCCAAACAAATCACATACTGAGACCGAGCCAACCACTATAGACATCATTGGTATATACGGTCCTGCTTCAAAAGATAATGCCGTCAATGAGCCATTTTGGACCGCTCTCAAGGAATACATTCAAAAATTCCACAAAAAATACATTTCAGACTTTGAAAGCGGTACTCGGCAATTGATCTTAGCGGGGGATTGGAACAGTTACCAAGATCCAGGTATGGATATTTATCGAGAGTATACGCTGGCCGGTTCTGAAAACGTAGATTCCAACCTACAAGATTTTCTAACAAACCTTTATGATGAAGACGGAATCTATCTTACGGATCTAATGGCCGCCTCCAAACTAGGTCCGTA